CGGCACCTTGTGGTCAGAGCCAGCATTGCGGCTCTCTCCTTGCTCCTTCCCTTGGAAACTCCTGGAAAACAAGCTACCTGAGCCTCCCATGGCCACAATGCCTTGAACTGAAAGACTGTGAATGTGTTTAAAATGGATTGATGACATAACCACTAAAGGACAACAAACAAAGTCTGAGATTAAGATAAAGATCAAGGAGGCCCTACTTCAGCCAGGCTGTCCCAGAATGTGACAGTCAAGGGCTTGTCTTTCTCCCAGAGTGGGAAGGACTCTGGGAGAAGGACAAGCCAGAGGGCCAGGGCAGCAGAACTCTGGGCCAAACAGAGAGGGGCTGCTGGGCCAGTGTGGGGGGAACATTAGGGAGGAGACTGGGAGTTGTGGGAGGACACAGAGGACAAGACTGGAGAGCTGTGGGAGGACAGAAAGGAGGAGACTGTGGGTTGGGGGGAGGACACAGAGGAGGAGTTGTGGGGGTGTTGTTGGGAGGACAGGGAGGGAGACTGGGGGTGATGGGGAAGACAGAAGGGGTAGATTGGGGGTTGTGGGGAAGGACAGAGGGGAGAAGACTGGGGGGGGCTATGGGGGAGCATTTGTGTTGAACGTGGACCCCAAGCAGCTGTCTCTGTCCTAATGCAGGAGTCTTTGGGACTCCAGCATTGTCTGACTGGGCCTGACACATCATGGCTTCAGAGGTTTTGGTCCATTGTCCATAAGCCTTGCTGCTTTGGGCCTGAGTTGAGGCAGAGCATCATGGTGGCAGGGGGCAGTGGAGGAGGATGCTAATCTCATAGATGGCAGTCAGGAAGGAGAGAGAGAGAGAGAGAGAGAGAGAGAGAGAGAGAGAGAGAGAGAGAGAGAGAGAGAGAGAGAGAGAGGAGAGAGAGAGAGGAGAGAGAAGTCATGCCCCCAGTGATCCACTTCTTCCAATCAGGCTCCTAACCGCACCTCCCAATAAGGCAATCGTTAGGAATCCATCAGTGAATGAATGAATCCATCGCTGAGGTCAGAGTCCTCAGGATCCACTCACTTCTCAGAAGCCCCACCTCTGAACACTGCAGCGGGGACCAAACCTTCCACACGTGAGCCTTTATGGGACATTTCAGACTCAAACCATGCACCACCCACATGCTGGGTGCCCAGCCCAGCATCACTCTCCCCACCTCACTACGGCCCCACCCACACCATCCTGGATCCTTTTCACTCTCTGATCTTTTTAATTTCCCTTTTGGTGGTACTGGGTTTTGAACTCAGGGCCTCTCTGGCTGGGCAGGCAGTCTACCACTGGAGCCACTCTGCAGCCCTTTTCCCTTTCATTTTTCAGGTAGGTTCTCAAATTTCTGCCCAGGCTGGTCTGGACCTTGATCTTCCTATCTATGGTTTCCCATGTAGCTGGGATTGCAGGCATGTGCTGCCACACCCACTGTTGTCAGCCTCACTACAAAGTGATTTTGATTAACACATGCTGCCTGTATCTCTTCTGAGCACCTCTCCAGGCTTGAGCTCTCCCTGCACCTTGGCTGCCTAACAGGAGGAAGCTGCAGATGTGTTCCAGCTTCTACTCTGGCATGATCTCCTGTGAAGCCCTCCCACTGCCTGGGGGCTGTTCTGAATATCTTTCCAGCTAAAATCCAGATCCCCCTCAGACAACGGACCTGCCCCTTCCATTCAGCATTACAGAATTGGGTCTATACTGCCACGTGTCAGAGCTCATCCTGTTCATTGCCCCCTAGTGCTCCCCCACACAGACTAGCCCTGACATTCATGCATTTCCACACACTGGGGCCACGCTGTGGGGAGCACTGCATCTGTGGCAAGCCACCACTGTGCCCGAGGACAGCCCAGGAGAGAACCCACTGAGTGTGAGGCATAAAGTGGTCAGTCTTATGAGATTCTAATTGTTTTCTAGGCTGGCCCGCATCGCTCACTATGTGAGGGAGCCCATGGTCCTGGTGTGTGTGTGTGTTTTTTTTCCTATCTTTCACTTGATTTAAGTTTTTTCTTACTGATTTGTAGGAAGTATTTAGTTCTGGCTAGTGGATACTAGCCAGTTATGCATGTGGTGAATATTGTCTTCCAATCTGTAGCTTGTTTTTCATTTTATTAAGGTGTTTTGATATTAGAAGCACTTTTATTTAATATGGTTGGATTTATTGCCCATTTCTTATGGCAGTACTGGACTTTGCACTCAGGGCCTTGTGGTTGCCAAGCAGGCATTCTACTACTTTAGCTATCATGTCCCCATGCCTTTTTTTGTTTTAGTTATTTTTTGGGTAGGGTCTCGTATTTTTACCAGGGGCCAGTCACAGACCACGATCTTCCTATTTGTGATGTAGCTGTAATTACAGACATGCACCACCATGCCTGGCTTGTTTGAGATGGTGGTCTAGCCAACTTTTTTTTGGGGGGTGGGGCAGGGCTAGCCTCAAGCCTCAACCCTCCTGGTCTCTGCCTCCCAAGTAGTTGGAATTACAGATATAATTCATGTCTCCCAGCTCAGCTATTTGGCCAATTATGATTAGTACTTTATATGCCTTGTTACAAAAAATCCTTCCCTAGTATAAGACAGAAAGATGGCCACCTTAATTTTGTTCTGTAAGTTTTAAAATTTTGTTTTGGCTTCATACCCTGAATCCATTTAGAGTTGGTTGGGTGTATGTGTGTGGTATGGGTAGGTACAGGGAGATGACTCCCATCCCCTCACCAAGACATCTGTGCTTTAATCCCTGCAACACAGAATATATCACCTCACATGGCAAAATCAACTTTGCTGGTGTGGATAGATGTAACAGACCCCATTGGACTGAGGCATTGGAGCCTCTGGACTGTCTGATATAATCACACAAGTCCTCAAAAGCTGAGTCTTCCTGCTCTGCTTAGAGAGCAGGAGATGAGCAGGTGTGAGGTGGGGGAAGAGACTGGCTGCCGTTGGCCACGACCTTGGGGAAGGGGGCGTTTCATGAGGATGTGGACTCTTGGAGCTGGGACACCCTGCTCTCAGCCTACACAGCACTGTTCCAGCCTGGGAACCTCAACCACAGCTGAGCAGGCAGAACATGGTCCTCGTCTGAAGCCTCCAGGAGGCTGACTGTGCCCAGTGAAGCCTGTTTTGGGCTTCCACCCCCAACCTGTCAGATACTAAGTGTTAGTATTTAAGGGGCTAAGCATGTTGAGTTTGTCATGGCAGCAACAGAAAATGCACACAGTAAGGGACCCGATTTTGTTTCCTGCCTGGATAACCCCATCTCTTGCCCATCTGCCACTAGGGTCCCCCCCAGCCTCCTTCAGGTTCCCCTGTGTTTTCTGCCCAGTATCCCATCATACAGTATTAAGATGTCACCCCTGGCTCTGGTCCACTGGCTTCGAGTTTTGCTTTTCCACCTCTGAGTAGACATGGCCTCCTATGCCCCATGGCTGCATCTCTCCTGACCTCCATGGAGGTCCAGCATTGCTGTGGATGGTGCAGGTGGAGGGCGAAGCCCCTCCAGCTGCATGGGGTAGACGGAGTTTCTGCGTGACTTTGGTGTCTACATCTGTGGTGGGGCCAGCACCTCCAAAAGGACTGTCGTGTGGCAGGAGAGCTACCAGACAGGCGAGCTTTGCACCAGGTCTTCTCCTGCGGTGTACCCAGGCTGCATGGGGGTGGTGGTGGGATTGGCAGTGTACTCCATCACAGTGATTGTTTTACTTTGGATGTGCCTTAGAAGACAGCCTTGAAAGCTACTTCTTGTGAAATGTCGGGACAGGAATGGCTTGTGTACATTAAGGTGCTTTTGGCTTTAAGGACCTGAAGCTGAACTAAGTTGAGCAAATACAGGAGGATTCAGTATTGCAGGAAATAGGAAGTGCTGACACAGAGCAGGATCCAGGGATGCTAAGCTTGAAGGCTCAACAATGCCATCAAAGACTCATCTTTCAGGTCCTCTGTCCTCAGACAAGCAGGCTTCACAGTCACAAAATGGCTACTTGAACTCAAAATGACTACTTGGTTTTTTTTTTTTTTTTTTTTGGTGTGCTACCACTTGAACCACTCTCTGAGCACTTTTTGTGATGATTTATTTTTATTTTTATTTTTTTGGTAGTACTGGGGTTTGAACTCAGGGCCTCATGCTTGTCAGGCAGGCACTCTAACACTGCAGTCATTCCTCCAGCCCTGTGTTGGTTATTTAGTTACTTATTTGCAGTATTGGAGTTTGAACTCAGGCCTACACCTTAAGCCACTCTACCAGCCCTTTTTTGTAAAAGGTTTTTTGAGAAAGGATTTCATGCTCTGTTTGCCTGGCTGGCTTGGAACCACAGTCCTCCTGATCTCTGCCTCCTGAGTAGCTAGGATTACAGGCGTGAGCCACTGGCAGTTGGTTATTTTTGAGACAGGGTCTCACTTTATGCCTGGGCCTGCCTGAACTACAGTCCTATTTGTGCTTCTCCATGAAGCTGGGATGACAGATACATGCCCAGCCATTGGTTGAGATGGGGCCTCATGACCTTTTTGTCCAATAAGCCTCAGACCACAGTCCTCCCAATCTCTGCCTCCCAAGTAGCTGGGAGCCACCATTTCCGGGTCCTTTAAAGAGAGAGGAAGCCATGCCTAGTAGCCCCTGCAGACTCCCCTTCAGATCTCACTCCTCAACCGATCTTGGGGTACTATGTTCACGAGGATTAACTCCGAAGCTGAACACAAATGGAGTCTGTTAGGCTCATACTAGTAATCCCAGCATTTGGGAGACTAAGGCAGGAGAACTGTGAGTTTTACACCAGCCTGGACTACTATAGGGCAATACTCTGTCAAAGAAGAAGGAGGAGAAGAATGTAGAATGTGGCCATGAATTTCCCACACCGAGCCCTGTTCCCACACCACCTGGCAAGAGCACTTGTAGACTGTGCTGGAATTGGAATGGGGATGGTGGAACCCATGGGCAGGACATTCCCCTGTTGCCACAGTGACCACACATATACTTGGGTATTGAGGGAGTGAGGCTGCAGGGTCAGGAGGGACCCAGTACATGGACGAACATCAGCAAAGTCTGCTAAGTAACCACATCTCCCAGGCTGGGGATGGGTCAGAAAAGGAGCCGGATGATGGTGCCCTCAGCTTTGAGAGTGCCATGTACGAAAACCCGTGGCTCCAGGGTCCCATGTACCAAGAAACTAACGAAGGAGAGCAGGGCTCCCAAGGTGGAGAGCTGGAGATCCCCGCTGAAGAGGTGATCGGGGAGGAGCTGCAGGAGGCTCCTGATCTGATAAAGACTCTGGAGCAAGAGGTGGAGGACGAAGTTCACGAAATAAGGTGGGTGGCAGAGAGATGGGCCCAGGCTGAGAGGAGGAGGAAGATGGTTGATGTCCTCATCATGGCCTCTTGGCCTTCCCTTCACAGTCTGGAGCTTTCTAGGAAGCAGGGGCTGCTCTGGGTAGCTTGGTCCTCCTCTGGGTCCTGGCATCGTGTAGGTATCCAGTAAACATTTGTGAGATGAGTCCCAGGAGATGGGAGCTGGCCTTGTCCCTATTTCACAGACACCTCTGAGCAGAAGTGGCCTCCTACGCCCTCTGCAGGCCAGTGACACTGGCCAGGTTGCCCTTCTGGCAAGTGGAACTGGTGTCAGCACAGGCTGTTGAGATGCCAAACTCCCTAGATAGGTCCTTGAGGGAGAGGAGAGTTGCGTGGCCAAGGTCAGAGGAAAGATGCCTGAAAAAGACCAAGCTTTCTCTAGGCCCCTACACATGGAAGGGTGGACCAGAGGCCCCCCAACACCAAACTCTCCCACAGTCAGCTATCCATTGTGGAGAAGCCTACCAGCACCTCCATGGCTAAGGGCAAGAGGAGGAGGCGACTCAGCCAGTTGGCGAGGCCCAAGACCAACTGGCAAAGTGTTAAAGACAGGTAAGGGCAGCCCATCTGGGCATAGAGGGTAGGAAGGAGGCAGGAGCCCCTCTGTATTCTTCCCAGGACTCCCTGATCCACCCCTATCTGCCCTTACTTGCATCACCTCCAGGCAGGGCGCCTAGGCAGTGAAGAGCCTGCTGGGAGGTGACATGCTAGGGCATTGGAGGTGGGGACTGCTGGGGCAAGGTGGTCCTTGGGGGCTTTCTGGGTGGGATCCAAAGGAGAAAGAGGAGTTTGGGAACAAGTGAAGACCCAGAGCCAAAGGCGGGGCCTGGGACCCTGTCTCACCGCAGGCCGGGGTGCTGTTGTAAGGGCTATGCCTGGATTTCCCCACGCAAGACGACCTTGCAGTTCTGCCTCTATTGGTGAGTTGGGGCGGTCTGTCTCCTCCCTTGTCTCCTGCCCATGCTGGGGATAAGCCAGGCTCCAGGGTTGCACTGGAGCCACCCTCTCCTCCTCTTAGGCACCAGGGACAGGGAGGGAAGGGCTCTCAGGTGGGGATTCCCTTGCCCAGGGCTGTCCCTGCCTCCGCCTTCCTGCTGTGGTCACAGCCCACTGTGCAGCGTCTGCCCCTGAGGCTTCCTTGGCTTACCTAGCTATACTTGACCTCTTCCAGCAGCCTCCATCTCTGAATACCTGCTTGTGCCCAGAAAATTTGCATTTTCCTGTGATGCTCCTTGTCCTTCCCTTACTGGACCCCTCCTACTCTTCCGTATTCTCCTTCCATTCTCCTCAGGATGCCCTTCCCATGTCACCAGCCTTCTGTCTGTGCCCCAGACCCCCAGGCTTCCCTTCCTGGGCAAGGCATGATGTCTGATCTTTGCTTCCCCTGCCCTGAGTCACCTGCTGTATTCCAGGCCCTCTGTGTACTGGACTGAGCGCTTTCTCGAGGACACTACCCTGACTATTACGGTGCCTGGTAGGTGCAGCCTCCTGGAAGCAGCCTGGGTGGCCTCTGTCTCCTTTGGGGTCTGAACTGTTCTGTCCAGTGTACTGGCACTGGTCTCCTGGGTCTGAGAACAAAGATGGTGCAGTTACTTCCCTCCCCAGTGTGGCCCTACTCCCACTGGAACCCTGGGTTTCCCTCCCCTTCCCCATCTTCCAGGAGCCCCTTTCCAAGGTCCTTTCTCTAAATTGTTCATCGGGCAACCAGAGTCCCGGAGACCAGTCCTGGGGTGAGGGTTGGGGGGCAGAATAATCAGGATATGAATGGGGTTAGTATTTGCTTTACAAAAAGACCCCTGGCCTTCCTCCCAAAATGAGTTCCACCCTTCTTTGAGAGTGTGGATCCCTTCGAATAAATCATCCCAAGAGGGTCTTGGTGGTGCAATGTGATTCCACCTACTCAGGAGGCAGAGACAGGAGAATCATGGTCTGAGGTGAGCCTGGACAAAAGCACAAGACCCTATTTGAAAAGCAAAAAAAAAAAAAAAGCAAAAGGACTGGGAGAGCATCTCAGTGGTAGGGTGCCTGCCTAGAAAGTGGGAGGCCCTGAGTTCAATTAACAAACAAATCCTAAAAAAACAAAGCCTTGGAAACCCAAGGCCTACACTAACTTCAGACCAAAATCTAGTTTCCCTTGTGCTATTTTCCTGGGAAAGAGCTATGTACTACACTGCAGCTCCAGCCCTGTTCATCTGTCCTGTGAGCCCCTGAGGCCACTGTCCCTACAACAGGGCAGCTGAGGCCATCTCTCTGTAAGGTGTCTTTTCCCTAAGTTTTCAGTCTGTGCCTTCTTTCTGGGCCTATGGTTAGCAGAACTCAGCATGCAGAAACTTTGGGGTGGGCAGTTTTTTATGCTGGGCCCGGCATTGCTGCGGTGACTGGTCCATTTCCCATTCTGCTAGCGGTGTCTTGCCGAGTGGAAGAGTTGGCAAGGCCCAGGAGGTTCTACTTGGAGTATTACAACAACAACAGGTAAGGGAGGAGGGTTGGGTGGGTGCTGTACAGCAGAGAACTTTTGCATGTTTCCTTTTCTTGGAGGAACTCCTCAAGGGCAGGTCCATGTCTTAGGGTTTGGGTCACCTGACCTTCCTGCTGGTGTCTGATGCCCTAGCAGGTTCTTGACCCCATTATCCTAACGCCACCTATAAAATGAGGGTTGTGGATATGGTGCACACATGTGCTCAACAGGTGCGTGGAACAGTAAGCACTCAAATGGAGGTGCCATGTCCACCATTCTGTTGACTCTGAAAGGTAGGTAATGTAGGACACAGTGTTACTTTATTCCACATTATAGCACGCTGTTCCCTCCCTGTCAGAGTCCCCATGCTTCCTCAAGGTGTTCTTCAGAGCCATTCAGACGTCAGCTTCCCATCTTTATGCACACGAGGGAAAACATCACAATGTGAACGGCTGAAGCATGTCCCAGTGCATTAAGACACTTCGGACTTGGAGATGTGGCGCAGGTGTTCTTCTACATTGGTGTTCATGCCTGTGTTCGCACACAGTGGCTTTTTGTCTGAGGGCTGACATTGTAATCTGAGCCCAAGTGACACAGAGATCACACTCTACACCTGTGCAGGCAAGGATGCACACAGCTCAGTCACGATGATTTCAGCGTGAGCAGCTACTCTGGGCATGCAAGGGTGAGGACAGCCTGCAACTTCTGCCATCTGGCTGACAGCATTTGTAAGCTGTGTCCCAGACTCACCTAGGCCAATGTGAGGCTCAGCCTCCGCATCAGCAAGGCAGGACTTTGTTCCTGGGCAGGGCATAACTAAGTGTTAGGAGGCACGGGCCGAGCGAGCTCAGTGTAGACAATTTTCCTGCTTTTTGTGGCAACTGGAGGACAAATACTTTATTGCTAGGTCCATGGTCTTGAGAGGTTCCGGATGGTGGGTGGGGAGTGGGCCTGGGAGGGCTGTCACCATGCAGGGGACAGATAAAGAGCTCACCTAAGCTAAGTACTGAGCTGGACATCTGGGAGATTTGGGGAGACTTGTCCCAGGGTTCATTGAGTCTCTCCTTGGGGGCATTTTCATGTTTCATGAGCCCCCATGTTCTCAGGCTCCTTTCATCCCAGAAACAAGCTGAGCTGGATGATATGCACACATGGAGGCTCACAGATGCCCACTAGGAGGGCTGACAGTCTAAACTGCGCATGTCTCTTAGGACCACACCCATCTGGCCCATCTCTCGGCCCACCTTGGAATACAACGCGTCTAACCGGCTGAAGGAACTGGCTGTCCCCAAGGTCCGGAATAACATTTGGAGCATCAATATGTCCGAGGTAGGTAGAGTTGGCCACCCACCCCACGCAGGTCACAAGGGTAGGGACAATGAAGGAGGCTGCCGTTATTGGGCATCGGGCTGGGGGCCAAGAAGGCACAGGTTCTTTTTTTTTTTTTTTTTTCATTTTTCTTTTATTATTCATATGTGCATACAAGGCTTGGTTCATTTCTCCCCCCTGCCCCCACCCCCTCCCTTACCACCCACTCCGCCCCCTCCCTCTCCCCCTCAATACCCAGCAGAAACTATTTTGCCCTTATTTCTAATTTTGTTGTAGAGAGAGTATAAGCAATAATAGGAAGGAACAAGGGTTTTTGCTGGTTGAGATAAGGATAGCTATACAGGGCATTGACTCACATTGATTTCCTGTAGGCACAGGTTCTGGTACAATCAATGCAAGAGTGCCAGCTCTGCTGGGCAGGCACGTTCACTGGTTACTTCTGGAAACTTCTGTTTCCTTTCTCTTGGCCTGTTGGGGTAATCCTTCCCTGCCCTTGTCAGCCTAGAGCAGCATTCAAACTTTCTGTTTACACTCAGGCATTGCGACCATTTCAGGTCAGAGATTTTAGAAAGTTCAGTGCATTCTGAGTAAGACACTTGTCTCAGGGGGTGGCTCAGTGGTGGTGCGATGGCCCAGTGGAGAGTTTCTATTTTCTCTGCTTGACTGTGTACAGTCCACCTGGCTCCATTGGTCCTGTCCCTTCTTTGTTCCCAGATGCTGGGGGTTGGGGTCGAAACTGTGGACTTGAGCTACTTCTTTCACTCAGCATGATGTTCCCAAGGCTCTGCACACAGCACTGGCTTGTTCCTATTTTCTAGAGTGAAGTTCAAGTCACTGGCCCTGGGCCTCGCTCTTACTCACCTAGAGGGTCTTTGGCATGAGTCTATTTTCTGGCTATTGATAAAGCTGCCATGAAGGGTTCACACACAGGTCCTGCAGAGGCTTCAGCTTTCTATGTCTGTGGCAAATATTCCTGTCACCTAGTGCCTTCTGCTCCTTGAGCTGCACAAACAGCCTTCTACTGCAGTTGTGCTAGTCTGTGCACTCCCAGCCCATCTCAAGGTCAGACGCCCTGCTTCGACAGCATTTGGTGTTGTCTGTCCACTTGTTTGATGAGTTGCTTCTTTGTCTACACATTCTGGACATTCTGACATCCTTGGTGTTTCCGGTCATTTTAATCTGTGTGGCCATTTGCCAGACATGCTGGTGACTCACGTCTGTAATCCTAGCTACTCAGGAGGATTGTGGTTCAAAGCCAGCCCAGGCAAATAGTTAGCGCGATCCTTTCTCAAAAAAACCCATCACAAAAAAATAGGCTTGGTGGAGTGGCTCAAGGTGAAGGCCCTGAGTTCAAGCCCCAGTACTGCAAAAAAAAAAAAATTTAAAGTAAGTCCTGATAACATAATCATCTCCCTTATAAGCACTTCAGTGTGTGTGTGTTTCTTAACAGACAAGAACATTTAAAAAAAACAGCAAGAAAGCCAGGCACCATGGCTCAGACCTATAATCCCAGCTCCTTAGCAGGGAAAGGGAGGATCTTGGTTTGAAGCCAGCCCAGTCAAAAAGTTAGTGAGACCCCCATATCAACCAATAGCAGGGCACAGTGGCTCACGCATGTCATCCCACTTACAACCCAGCTACGGGTGGCATCGGTAGGAGGATCGCAGTCTGAGGCTGTCCTGTGGGCAAAAAATAACTAAAGCAAGAAAGGGCTAGGGATACAGCCTCAAGCTGTAGAGCACCTGCCTAGCAGGCATGAAGCCCTGAGTTCAAGCCCCAGTACCACCCCCAAAAAATGATTACATGACATCAAAATGTTCAGTGTGTTGTTTTCCTATTGTCTCAAAGATGGCCTTTCATGGTTGGTTGTTTGAATCTGTATCCAAAGCTGCACATAGTTCTTTCAAATTGCTCTGCCTGGAGATGCACCTGTCACCTTTCTGCATCTTGGCCTCGCTCTCTAGTCCAGCATTCAAACCACTCCAATGCCTTGGCCCTCCTGTGCTGCAAACTGTCCATGGTTCTGCCAGAGCTGTGGGAGAGCGCTGCAATTTCTGAGCATGGAAGGAAGGCTCATGGAGGTTAAACGTCAGGCCTCTTCTGGATTGCACATGTATGCCCTCTGCCCAGAATACATTTCCTATCCACACGTGACTCTCTGCACTCAGGATTCACCATCCTGTCCAACCCCAGCTCCGAGCCTGGCTGGTGGGGTAGCACCAGATACCCATAATATCTGTGACCGTTACTAACTTCCCACCTGTCACAGTCTCTGGCATGTGGCTTAGACCCCCAAACTAGGCTCCCTGAGGCAGGGCCAATCCTCTTTCTGTGGGTCGTGGCCTTTCTAGACTTAGCCTTGTACACAGGGAGCTGGCGATGGGCCAGACAAGGGACAAAGGTTAAAACAGGATAAACATATGAAGACAGGAGCAGGAAGCCAAAGGTCTTGGAACCACATATGTAGTTTAAGGGGTAGGTGTGTGGCAAAGGCCGGGAGCTCAGGCTGGTGTTTGGTGATTGAATAGCTGATGCTGTGTTGAAGTAAACAAACTTGATGGAGCATGGATTCTTAGAATTTATCTGCGGAGCAAAAGTGCCAGGTTTCTTGGTCAAATGCCTGCCAGGGATTCCTTTCACTATCCTCTTTGCCACAGCCAGCCAAATGCTGTACCCACAATCCCACCTCAGCAGCCCCTCTAGGGCCTCATTCTACCCTCCCACTTTGACCAGGTTGTCATCATTTTCCTAATGCGTTTCTTTTATTCCCTTTATAGACTTATAAAGGGCATTAATGGTGTTTAATTTAATTAATTAATTTTTGTGGTACTTGTGTTTCAACTCAGGGCCTCATGCTTACTAGCAGGCATTCTACCACTTGAGCCACACCCCAGGCCTTTTTTACTTTAGTTATTTTTCAGGTAGGCTCTTGTGCTTTTCCCAGGCTGGCTTTATACTACGATAAGTTTTCCAGACTGTGGTGCCTCTGGTGTAGCTGGGGTTATAGTCACACACCATCATGCCTGGCTTGTTTGTTGAGATGGGGTTTTGCTAACTTTTTGCCTGGGTTGTCATGGAACTGTGATCCTCCCAATCTCTGCTTCCTGAGTAGCTGGGATTACATGTGTGAGCCATAGTTCTGGCCTTATCTTTACTTATTGATTTATTTATTTTGGCAGTATTGGTTTGAACTCAAGGCCTTACACTTGCTAGGCAAGTGTTCTACCACTTGAGTCATGTCTATAGCACTTTTTGCTTTAGTTATTTTGCGGATAGTCTCAAGTTTATGCCCAGGCTGACCTGGACTGTGATCCTCCTATTTATACTTGCCACATAGCTGGGATGACAGTTAAGTGTCACATGCCCAACCATTGGTTGAGATGGGGTCTCTAGGACTTTTTGCTCAGGCTGGCCTTGAACCAGGATCCTCCTGATCTGTGCCTCCTGAGTGCACAGCCTTATTTTTTCATTTTTTTGTGTTGGGTATTTTTTTTCTTTTATTCATAGGTGCATACAATGTCTGGGTCATTTCTCCCCCCTTCCCCCTGCCCCCTCCCTTACTCCCCCGCCCTCTCCCTCACCCCCCCGCCCCCTCCCTCTCTCTCATTTTTATTTTTTTGATGGGACTGGATGACACCAACGTGATTTAACACCCTCTTAGCCACCCAGATCCAATATCATAATGACCACGTGTATCCCCCAACTCTGAAAGTGTAAGACTGAGAAACGGGGACCACTACTTTGAGTCCTTACTTTTATTTCCTGTATGGGGAGCAGGAAATGTTTCTCTTTTTTCCCCATTTCTCCCCACTTTTATCTTGTTATACTAAATTCCTTTCCTGATAAACTTGACTATGATTTTTACTATATTTTCCACGTCTTGCCTGAATTCTTCTCTAGCTGGAGAGAAGAACCAAGATAGATGCCAGTACCAAACTTTTCAGTAACACAAAGTACTGAGTTCAAATTCCAGTCCCATAAAAAAAAATAAAAATGAAAAAATAAGGCTGGCACCTGTAATCCTAACCACTCAGGAGGCAGAGATCAGGAGAATCCTGGTTCGAGGCCAGCCTGACCAAAAAGTCCTGGAGACCCCAACCATTGGTTGAGATGGCATTTAGGCTGCTCTCCTGCTGGCTGAGTGACTCAAGTGGTTGAGTGCCTGCCTTGCAAAGGTGAAGACTTGAGCTCAAACCCTAGTACTGCCAAAAAAAAAAAAATAGACTGTGCCATTTGGCCACCTCCCATGGGATAGGGTTATTGATTTGGAGGAAGTCTTTGTATATGATGGATACTAATCCTTTGCTGAACACATTGCAAACTAAGTTCTTCCCAGTTTTTCTCTTGTCCTTCAGGGTTATTAAAGGGGTCTTTTTAAGTCAGGTTCCATGAGGAATTATAAACTGATTCACACTGTTCCCAGGTGTCCCAGGTGTCCAGGGCAGCCCGGTTGGCAGTCCCCAGCCCACGGATCCTCCGGCTGGCAAAGCCCAGGGCCCCAGCCACCCTATTGAAAGAGTGGAACCCATTGCCGAAACCCAAGCCCCATGTGTCTGACTACAACCGCCTCCTTCAGCTGGCCAGTGAGTAGACGCCCTGGGGTCCAGATCTCCGTGACTTCTTTATGAACACTGCGGGGTGAGGGGTGAGAAGATTTGGGTTTGAGGTCTGCTTCTGCCAGATTTATGCTTCTTTCTTTCTTCATCATCTTCTTGAATTGCAGACCAGCATCAGGATCCTGGGACAGCTGGACCTCAGCCAGTGCAGGGTCTCCTGAGCTGGCAGAGGGGTCCCTTCCTGGGGTGGGGTGGAGAAGCAGGAACTAGAAGACATAGCAGAGCGTGTCATCTGAGGGTCTCCTAGCAGGAAAGTGAGTGCAGGAGATGGAGCTGGGGCAGAGCAGGAACCAGGGAGCCACACCCAGTTGTGAGGGCAGCTTTGAGAAGTTCCTTCCTGTGCTTCGAGTCAATCACCCACTCCCCCAGGGATGAAAGGAGTAGGTACCTAATTGTGGAAAATTTGGAAAGGCAGAAAACCCTAAAGAAGAAAGTAAAAATCACATCCTTGCCATGGCCTAAAGACAACATACTTCACACATATAATGGGCAGGCATACTTGTGCAACTGTGTACATGTGAGTGAGCCACACGTGCCTCTTCTGGTCACTTGGAAAGAGCCCTAAGTTCTCTCCCATTGCCACATCCATATCCAGCCAGCCAGAATCCTGTGGGCCCCACCTTCAGAACACAGGGGCCTCTTGGCCCCACTGGGCAGAGACCTTCATTATCTGCCACCGTCCTCCCCCATCACCAGCCTGTTTTGCACATGATAGCCAGCTGGGTCTTGGTGAGCTTCAGCCAGATGCCACTCCTGCTTTTGGCTCTCCCTGTGTCATTCCACCTCTGAGCTCTGGGCACCATCTGCAAGCTTTTTCTCCATGACACTGCAGCCTCCTATGAGTGATAGTGTTTAACGTGTCTCTTCATTGCATGTGACCTACTATGTGCCAGGCCTGAGAGGCTACAAGCCTTGAAAAGTCACTGTGTCTCCCTCCTTTTGGTCTGTGATTGCCAGGGAGGTCAGTCAGCCATTTAGGCTGACTCTCTTCCCCACTTCTTCCCTTGTTTTCTCCTTCTTGGGTTTTGGTTTATGATTTGGAGCTGCTCTTTATATAAGATGGTTACTAATCCTTTGTCGAACACTCTCAGATGACTTCTTCCCATATGTCTCGTGTTTTAAATTTGCTTGTAGGGTCTTCTGTCTGCTGGTTCATGCATTCCTTCCCTCAGTGTTTGTTAGGAGAGGGTTGAATGAGAGTAAGCGTGAGCATGGACACACACTGGGTGAGTTCACCCCTCCCACCTTGACTATGCACCTGTCTACACACTCATTCAGCTCTCATTCATTGACATGTGTGGGTGAGGATGGCGCGAGGCTGTGTGTTCAAACAGCAGGTGTACTAGGGTTCTGCAGAAGAACAGAGCCAATAGAATATATAATATATATTATGAAAGGAGATATTTTGGATTGGTTTACGTGACTAAAGGCTGGATAGTCCAACAGTGGCCACGTACAGTTGGAGAGGCAAAGAACCCAGTAGCTTCTCAGTCCAAGAAGCTGGAGACCTCAGACTGTGGGGGACCAAAGATGCAGCCCCAGTTCAAGGCTGAAGGCCTGGGAGCTCCCTGGAGATGACTGATAAGAGCCATGCTGAAAGGCTACAACTGGAATCCTGTGTCCATAGGTGATGGCAGCATCAGTAGACGCACTTGTCAGAAGAGTGGAGCTTGCATGTGCTGGCTTCCTCTTCTTTTTTTTTTGATGGTACTGAGGTTTGAACTCAGAACCTTGCATTGCTAAGCAGGTGCTCTTCCACTTGAGCCATTTTTGCTCTAGTTATTTTTTGGATTAGGTCTTGAACTGCAAGCCTCCTTCCTATGCCTTCCAGTAGTTGGGATTGTAGATGCATGCACTACTTCTCAGCTTGTTGGTTGAGATGGGGTCTCTAACTTTTGCCGGGGCTGGCCTTGAACTGCTAGTCTCTTGATCTCCACCTCCAGAATAGCTGGGGTTATAGTGTTAGCTGCCACATCAGGATCATCTTCCACTTTTGTTCCATTCAGGCTCCCAATCTATTGGAAGGTGCTGTATACATTCAGGGCTGGTCTTTCCCCCTCAGCCCACATGTCCAATCTTCTCTGGAAACACCCTTCCAGACACACCCAGAAGTATTAACTTCCTGGATTCTCAATCCTGTCAAGTTGACAATCAAGATTAACCATCTCAGAAGGTGCCCACCCACAAAGGGCTGTGACTGGCATTTTTTTTTTTCTGATGCTGGGGTGGAGCCCAGGTCCCTGTATGCCAAGCATGTGCTCTGCCACTGAGTTGCACCCCAGCCTGGGAGAGCAACTGAGGGGTGTTGAACTGTGGTACTGAGAACAAGCTCGTGGCCCTGTTTCTGAGTTCACACGGTACTGGGTGGGCTTCATTGACACTGTCAAGCCATGACTGATGGAATTTAAAAGTACAGATGGCAAAAGGGCTGGCGGATTGGCTCAGGTGGTAGAGCGCCTGCCTACCAAGCACCAGGCCCTGAGTTCAAACCCCAGTGCCGCAAAAATAAATAAAAAATAAAAAATCTTTAAGCTTGGCACCGGTGGCTCACATGTATAATCCTAGCTACTCAGGAGACGAAGATCAGAAGGACTGCAGTTCAAAGCCAGCTAGGGCAAATAGTCTGTGAGACCCTATCTCAAAAAAAAAAAAATCCATCACAAAAACGGGCTGGTGGAGTGGCTCAAGGTGTAGGTCTGAGTTCAAACCTCAGAAAAAAAAAGTACAATTGGTACAGTGGTAGAAATTCTCCAGTTCTCAGAGTTCAAGGAGAGTTCATCCTTCCTGTCTCACAGGGGCCACTGAGGCTCAGCTGCTGGTCTGTTTACTGGTCCAGGATATTTGTTGCAGAGCTTCTGTCGCTGCCAGGATCTGCCTGCTGGGGGAAGGGGCTCTACTTTCTCTCTCCAGGGGCTTCTGAGGAGCCTGGGCTGTCTATATAGAACAGGGTGGCCTTTGTTCATTTACAATGAGGCCCAAGCAAAGAGGGTTTGGAAGGAGGCTATAGCTCCCCTCAAAGGTGAGGCCTGAAGCCCCCAGAGATGGAAGATGGGGTGCAGCCCATCTACTGAGGGATGTGGTGATCACCTCTCTTCCTGGCTTCCCAGGAGACTGTGCTGTGAACAATGCCAACCAGGAAGAGGGGTCCAAGGCCACCAGCCAGGAAGAGGAAATGTTCCCTTGCTGCCCCCTTTCATAGTGGCATCAGAGGAGGATAGAAGGGACAAAAGGCAGACCCCTCCTTGCTTCTGACCACCAGGGAAGCTGTGTGTGTTGGGGGTATGCGAGTTCTCTTAGCTGGCCTCTATATCCTCCTTTCTGGGAAATGTGGCCAATTGAAATGTTTTTTCTTTACACCTCTTAAAGGGTGGTTTTTATTACATTTACAGAGTTGTACAACCATCACTATTATGTAGTTCTAGAACATTCCATCACCCAAAAGGAAATCCCATCCCTATGAGCACCCTGTTCACTCCCCAGCACCTGGCACCCATGAGTCCACTTCCTGTCTCTAGATTTGCCTGTTCTAGATGTTTCTTATCAGTGGGGTCACACGCTGTGGGGCCTTTTGTGTCTGCTTCTCACTGAGTGCAATGTCCTCAAGGTCCCTCTGACAATGTTGTGTCAGAGTTTTACTCCTGTTTGTGGCTAAGTGATGCTCCATCCATGGGGATGGAACACATTGTGCTGTCATTCCTCTGCAGATGGACAAACTGAGGTTTACAGCTTTGCCTGAGAAGGCTGAACCCTGGGGTGCTTCTCTTCTGCCCTCTAGTGCCCAAGGTCCAGTCAGACAAGTGCGTTCCTGACCGCAGCCCTCGTTGGGAGGTGCTGGATGTCACCAAGAAAGCAGTGGCCACTCCGCGGATCATCTCGCTGGCCAAACCCAGAGTGCGCAAGGACCTCAACGAGAGCTACGACCCTTACTACATCTCTCCAGCCTCCCTGGTGGCTCGGGCGTCCCCGCGCCTCTATGAGCTTGCCACCCCCAAAAGCATCACCAAGAAATTGTGACAGCCAGGCCTGGTTCTCAGCCTGTCCCCAGTAAATACCCAAGTGCATCTTCACCTGTGTACGTGATTGCTCTGAGCTTTGTGGCCTGGGTAGGGGGTGGGCAGGAGGCCAAAGGATGAGGCTAGAACAATAATAATGTTTATTTTCCCATCTATCTGTGATTTGTACAGCACTTTTATTTCTCAAGTCACTTGCCCACTATCTCCAGTGCCCCTGAAGTCAGACATCAGCCCAGAATTTCCCCTCCGAGTCTCCTAAACCCAATTTGTCAGTCTAGGTGACTTTCAGGTGCCCACCAGCACCTCAAACTTAGGACAGTGTCCCTAATAAACCTAATAGTTGTGCTGCATGACTTACTGATCCTCACAATGACACAAGTAGGAGAGAAGATGAGCAGACCCATTCTAAGAAGAGGAGGCCAAGGCTCAAAGAGGTTAGAAAAAGGCCCACAGTCTGCCAAATTCATGTATTGAAATGGCCACTCTCAAGGTGATGGTGTTAAGGTGAGGCGACAAGAGAGGGGACAAGGCCAGGAAGGTTGGGCTCTTGTGTTTATGAAAGCTGGGTGCAGTGGCTCACACTTGGGAGGTGGAGATCGGTAAGATTAAGGTTCAGTTTCAGGTCAGCCCTGGCAAAAAGTTAGCAAGATTCCATCTCAACCAATGGTTGGGTGCAGTGGCATGCATGTGTCATCCCAGCTATGCAGGGAAGCACAGATAGGAGGATTGTGGTCCAGGCCAGCCTGGTCATAAAGCGAGACCCTATCTCAGTAAATAACCAACACAAAAAGGGCTAGGGATGTAGCTGAAGTGGTACAGTGCCTATCTAGCAAGTGCAAGCCCCTAAGTTCAAACCCTAGTACTGAGAGCAAGAGAGAGAGAGCAAGAGAGAGAGAGACCTGAGAGAGAGACCCCAGCCCTCTTTTGCCATGTGAGGTCATGGCACACATCAGCAGCATGCAGCTGGGAAGAAGGGCCTCACCAGAACCTGACCATTCAAGCCTCAATCTCAGCCTTTCAGCTTCCAGAACTATGAGAAACAGATTTCTATTGTTTATAAACTTCTCAGTCTATGGCAATTTGTTACAGCAGCACAAATGGACTGAGACATTTCCCATGTTTATAGCAAATCACACCAACAGGATGATTTAAAACTGCACACATTCATTATCTCTCAGTTCCCTTGTCAAAATCTGACACGAAACTCCCTGGGCTACAGTTCCTGTGTGGCAGGCAGGCCTGGTTCCTCCTGGAGGCTCCATGCAGGATCTATGTCTGCCTGTTCCAGCGTTTAGATGCCCTGCACTTAGGAGGGGCTCGTGGCTTCTTCCTCCCTCTTCAGAGCCAGCAGTGCAGTGCCTCCCAGCCTCTCTCTGCCTCTGACCTCCTGCCTCCTCCTTATGAGGACCCTGTGTGACATTGGGCCTGGATGATCCAGGGTGATCCCAAGATCATGGTCTTTAACTTAACCACAAGGAGAAAGTTCCTTTTGCCCTGTATTATGCCATGCAGGTCCTGGGGACTAGGATGTGAAAGTGTTTGGAGTTGTTGCCTAACCGACCACAGTGGGAAGATTTCCTTCTCTCTGAGACCCTAAACCAAGCCCCCTACTTCACTGCCTCTGATTGGTTCACTCAGGAGCCAGCCACTGGGTTATGACTGTGGAGTTGACTGTCAGACCCTGAGTCATGAGCCCGAAAATCCATTGTCACAAGTCCTAAGTTTTCCGAGGACATTTATTTGTTCGGTAGTTTAGAGAAAGTGTATTGAGTGTTTATGGGCTCACACCTAGGTGTGTTCAGAAGAAAATGGTTTAAAAAAATCAGTATCTCCATCATCTCAGATGACAGGATGGGAGAGAATCCCTGAACAGAGCAAAGTTCTTAGAGGCTGGGTACCCGGCCCACACAGTGCAACTGCTTTTGGACTTGGGGACAGAGGTGTCTGGCCTGCCTGTGAGAAGCAAATGGATTCTCAACTTTGTACTGCTCAGGACATGTCACCGGGAACCGACCTTAAAAGGGGCATCTGTGAGGAAGGACCTGAGTGGACTGACCCAGACTCAGTGCCTACGTAGGAGGATGTCACCTACCCCGGATATACTCACATCAGTGATTGGCAGCTTGTGTGCCCTGAGTGGGGCGGGCTTAGTATGTGATGGATTGGACAATGACCCTGAGTATTTCCAGGCCCTAGTCCCTGACATCTATCAATATGTCTCCTAAAACAGCAAAGATTTGATGAAGATCCCAACATGGGAGACTACCCTGGGTTAATCACATAATCACAGGAGGGAGGCAAAAGGAACTCTGACTATGGGAGAGGGAACTGTGGCCCCAAAGCAGATGTCATGAAGATGACAAAGGGACCCAAGGCATATGGCTCCGGAAGAAAACAGATTGGCTCTAAGGGCCCTGGGGGAACAGGGCTCTGATGGCCCCTGATTTCTGCCCAAGAATCCATTCTGACCTCTGTATATTGAATGTGTGGTAACTTGTTACAGCAGCAATAGGAACTAATACACACTAGAGACCACAGAAGTTGACTTGCAAGTAGAGAGTATAGAGATCTTGAGGGACTGAGCAGAGTGACTCTCAGGTGACTCAATGATCCAATTTCTGAACCAAGGGAAATTGAGCCAGGGCTCTTCATACTGGTAACCATCAGAACAAAACAAGATGTTTAAACCAGTCAGTGTTCAAAATGATGTGTGAGCTGTTTTGACAAAAGTCACCTCATATTTTAATAGTCTTATCCAAACTAAAGAACAGATATGTCTTTAAAATATAACGTTATAGGCATGGTAGCTCGTGCCTATAATCTCTGCTATTTGGGAGGTGGACATGGGAGGATAGTGGTTCAAGGCCACCCTGGGTAAACATTAGAAAGACCCCATCTCAACAAACAAGCCAGGCATGGTGGTACACCTCAGTAATCCCAGCTATCCAGGAGGCTGAGGTAGGAGGATCAAGGCCTGAGACCTGCCCCAGGCAAAAAGCCTGAAATCCTATCAGAAAAATAAATCAAAAAGGGCAAGACATGACTTAAGTGGTAAGGCACTTGCCTAGCAAGTGCAAGACCCTGAGTTCAAATTTCAGTAACATTATAAACAAATAAAGCATAACATCACACCTGCAGAATGACTTGTGCAGTCTTCATTGAGCAGCACAACTCTAAAGCCACACTTTTCTATGTCTGTTCTCTGCTTTTGGCAATAAAATTAGTCTGCTTCATTGTGGAAAACATTATTTTGCACTTGTTTGTGGAAAACCCAATAGATTAATTAAACAGTTAAATCTCTCTCTTTAAGATGCTGCTTTGGAGGATAATTTGCTCATATATAGGAAAGTTGAAAGTGTGTATTATCTACAATTTAACAATTCCCTCTGGGTATTTGTCCCCAAAAACTCTTTTCTGTACATGTGAGAAAACATGCATAAAACTTTCACTAGAACATTATTGTCATCGTGAAGGAGCAGGTAGACAGAATGACCAACGGCAGGGGGTAAATAAACACGTGCTGATCCAGCCATACCGTGGATATCATAGTCCAGAAGAAGTGACGAGAATGAGAAGTAGAAATGCACACACCTACCTTTGAAACCCAACGACACAGGGCTCGGGTGCAGCTCAGTGGCAAGTGCTTGCCTAGCATACACAAGACCCCAGATTCCATACCCAGCATCACAAACTAAAACCAAAACCAAAAGCAATTGATAACATCTGTGACCTTGAACTAATAACAAAGCACATAAAGGAAGAAGGCTGCAAAGTGAAGGGGAGGTTACTAGGAGTGTGGGGCATGATCTCAGATAAGGCTGGCACAATGCAGTTTGCATAGGCATGAGCACACCCTGAGGGAAGAACACAGTAATTCTTTCTCATTGTGCCAGGCACAGGTGTGCAGACTGGCAGCAGGAGCTTCCCTTCTCCAGTTTGACCTGAACTAGAGAGGGATGCAGAGCTGAGCAAGGATCACACAGGAAACTCTATTCCAGGGAAGGGGTCCTCCCTTAAGCAGGGTGTTGGCATGGGCTGTCCTTTGAACAGCCCTGCTGTGCCAACCTACCTAGCTAGAGAAAAGCAAACATAAAAGAATTCATGAGTTGTGCATCAGTGGCTCATGCCTGTAATCCTAGCTACTTGGGAGGGAGAGATCAGGAGAATCTAGGTTTGAAGCCAGCCTGGGCAAATAGTTCTTAAGATCCTATCTTGAAAAATCCTTCACAAAAAAAAAAAAAAGGGCTGGTGGAGTGGCTCAAGGTGAAGGCCCTGAGTTCAAATCCCAGTACTGCAAAAAAAAAAATTACAGGAGAGTTCATACCAAAGAGGAGAATAGTCTTAACACAGCTGTCACATAATGACATAACAGTGATCAGTTCAGGTGGACCACACCTGTTCAGAGATGAGAAACTGAAGAATAGCATCTGAATGAAGATAGCACAGATTAAACAAAAACTGTAAGAAAGAAAACATTACAAATGTGAATAAATGAATGAAACAGTTGTCTCAATATATGAGATCACAGAGCGGAGATACAAGGGCTCATAGAAGATACGGAAAGAAAACAGAAGGTGAAACACAAGGTTGCAGGATTCAGGAAAGAGAATGAAAAAATAAAGTCTAAATCAGAAGTAGGTTTAAGGAGCCCAGACATTTCCCAGGACATACTAGGAAAGAACATGGAAAACAGAATGGTCCTCAGAATAAGGTGGGCTGGAGGAGAAACCTCACATCTGACAAACTTTCATTAGTGTGCAATAATGACAGTATGTAACAAATGGGCAAAAATTGAAAGAACTTGGTGGGCATGGTAGTGCACATCTGTAATCCCAGCTACTTGGGATGGGGAGATAGGAGGATTAAGGTTCAAGGCTAGCTGGAAGAAAAAAGTTTGCAAGACCGTATCTCAAAAACAAGCGGAACTGGGTGCTGGTGGCTCACATCTCTAGTTCTAGCTGCTTGGGAGACTGAGATCAGGAGGACTGAGGTTTGAGGCCAGCTCAGGCAGGGAGTTCCCAAGACCCCATCTCAACCAATAGCTGGGCATGGTGACATGCACTTGTCATTCCAAAGTTTGCAGGAGTCTAAAATAGGGAGACTCATGGTTCCACGCCAGTCTGGGCCAAAAGTTTGTGAGACCCCATCTCAAGAAAAAAAAAAAAAAAAGAAAAAAAAGAAAACAAACCCAAAAACCCTGGGATTGAGGGAGTGCATCTGTCATCCTGGAGACAGCAGGAAGCAGAAAATAGGAGGATCGTGGTCCAGGCTGGCTTGGGCAAAAAGTGAGACCCTATCTCCAAAATAACCAGAGCAAAAAGGGGTAGAGGCGTGGCCCAAATAGTAGAGTGCCTTGTGAAATCTGAAGCCCTGAGTTCAAATCCCAGTACTGCCAAACAAACAAAAACACAACCAAACATCCCTGGGTCTGGTGGCTCACACATGTAATCCCAGCTTCTCTGGAGGTGGAAGTAGGATGATTTCCATCTGAGCATGGCTCTGGCAGAAGAATGAGACCATATCTGAAAAACAAACAAACAAACAAAAGACGAAAGGTGAGGCTCAAGTGGTAAAGTGTCTTGGAAGCACAAGTCTCTGAGTTCAACCCTCAGTTCCTCCAAACATAAAGAAGTAAAGGGGCTTCCTCAAGAGACTGATCATGATTTCCAAACAACTGAAAGGCAAGGAGAAATCAAAGAAAGAGAACAGATGGGCATCAGATCCATTTAATTTGGTGACAGGTGTAAATGCCATGAATTTTGATGTTAGAAGTATAATAATTAATACAAATTGAGAGGGCTCAGAGAAAATATTTGGTGTAGGCATACAGATTCCCTCATCAAACAGTGTTATTCAAAATGGATTATTCCAATAATAGAGGTATAATTCTATAATGTAGGAAAGAGGAGGTTGGGGGAAGGTGAGAATATGCCATTATTATTATTATTATTGGCAGTACTGGGGTTTGAATTCAGGGCCTCACACTCGCTCAGCCCAGTGCCAATTTTAACAATAGGGTCAATAGATGTAACAGAGTTAATGTCTAGTCATGTTGTCTAGGATGGCAGGACTAGCCATGGTGGCCACTGGGCATGTGAAGTGCAGCTAACTCGTGCTGTCACGTTCTGTAAGTGCAGACTGTACAGAGGAGAGAATGGAAATGTCTCATTAACAGGGCTGGATATGTGGCTCAGTGGTAGAGCAGTTACCTGCAAAGCCCTGGGTTTGATCCCTAGCACCACAAAACAAATAATTTTATATTGATTGGTTACATGCTGGAAAGATTATTTAAAAATTTCTCTTTTCATTAGCATATATTAATTGTACAAAGGGGTTTCATATTTCCACGATTGCATACAACATACTTGGATCAAATTCACCCCCTCTACCACTCTTTCTCATCCTCTCCCCCCTTTTAAAACAGTTCTAGTGGGTTTCATTATTCTATTTTCATACATGTATCTGAAGTACTTTCACCCAATAACCTCTCTCTCTCTCTCTTCTCTATATCTTTCTTCTTTTTGGTGGTTCTGGGGATTGAACACTTACACTTACTAGGAAAGTGCTCTACCACTTGAGCCACACCTCCAGTGGAAAACTAGTATTTTAAAGTTATACTGCATTTTATCATTGAAATTAATTTTGTTTCCTTTTCCTTGTAAAATGTGGTTACTAGTTGGGTGCCAGTGGCTCACACCTGTAATCCTAGCTACTTGGGAGTCTGAGATTGAGAGGATCTTGGCTCCAGGCCAACCTGGGCAAATAGTTCTCAAGACACCATCTCCAAAATAACTAGATCAGAATGGACTGGAGGTGTGGCTCAAGTGGTAGAGCATCTGCTTTGCAAGTGCGAAGCCCTGAGTCCCACCAAAAGTTACTAGATTTTAAGTTGCTCAGTTCAGCTAACAGCAAGACCTGTGAAGAGCTGAGAGCCATCAGCCTCCTCCTTTCCCAGAGCCAGGATGTCAGTGCTTATGGGGGACATTTGCACAGCAGCATCCAATATGGCCCACCCTGCATGGGTCAGACCCATGTGATCCATTCTGAAAATAGCTCCTCCAGGGGAAACTTGCAAGGTGAAGATTATTTGGGTGGGTTATACTTGTACTCCTAGTTGACAATCCTTGGCTCCTTTGAGAGGCTTTTGTGGTGTTGTGACCCAGCCCTCGTTCCTGAGCTCTGTTCACCACACTCTTTTTAGACACAGGTGCTTTCCACTCACCATGAAAATGGGGCACAGACACACCCAGAGGAACCCAAGTGGAACATGTGCCCAGTCCTGTGTCCTTGAGCACATACTCTCCCTCCAGTCTTCATCTTTGCCTTTGCTCATCCTGAAGTCAGGTCTCCTTCTCCAGTTCACTTCATCCTCTTTGGGTCTCAGCTCAAGAGTCTTTGGTTTGTTTCTGGGGTTTCTTTCTCTGCTTCCTTCCTTCCTTCCTTCCCTCCCTCCCTCCTTCCCTTTTCTTTTTGATGGTACTGGGGTTTGAACTCAGGCCTTATGCTTGCTAGTTAGGCATTCTACCACCTGAGCCATGTTCCCAGCCCTTTTTTGCTTGAGCCATACCTCCAGCTTTCTGTACATTTCCTCCACCACAGCACTTTACCCTAATGACTAAGTGTGAGTTTTTGAATAAGACTATTCTCTTAGAGAACCACAGGACATTATCTATTTCAGTAAATTTAACATTGATTCAATACTTTAAGGTACAGCTGAACTACAATTCTGTCAATTAAGTCAACAAAGTTCTCTGTGTTACTTCCCTCTACTTGGATCAGGTATTGCATTTTGTTGAATAGACTGGAATTGACTGGAAGACTTCCACAGTTTCATCTTTTCTGGAACTAGCAGTTTTGAAGAATACAGTCCCTCTTTTGTTAGTAGAATGTTCATATTCTGGCTTGATCTAGAGTTTCCTCCCATATGCATAGAGGTTCTGTGTTTCTAGCCAGGTTAAGGGATGCTGTCAAGGCATCACCTCCAGAGGCACAGGATATCCACCTGTCCCTTACAAGTGATGCTCATGTTCATCACCTGGCCAACAGGTTGCATTGTTTCTCCAACACAACTAATCATCAGTTTATGGAGAGACACGTTTGGACCTTGAAGATACCCTCTTCATTGACCTCTCATGTGACCTCCTTAGCGATTCTTGTCACAGCTCTCTCCTGGGAGTGTCTTATCTGGTGGCACCAGGCTTACTCAAGCCTTCTGCTTGGGCCCACTCTACCTGATGAGATTTATCGTAACCTCACTGGACCTCTGGCTACACAGCACCCAGTGGAAGTTGCTCAGGGTGCAACCTTGGTGCATGGAACTCCATGCCCTTAGTGCATGGAACAAATGAATCAACCAACTGCTCTGCTTTTCCTGAGAAATTTCAACCACAAGGGCAGAGACCACAACCTGAATGATGGCAGCAGAAATAAGGTGTGGGGTCTCCCTAGCTGGGGGTGGAGGGGAGGAGAAGGGGCAATGGGCAGAACTTTCAGGAACGGTTCTTCTGTCTAGGGTTGGCAAATCCTTAGAAGTGCTCAGCTGCTCACCATGCCACCGACTGCTCCCTGGGAAGGGAGGGTCTCTTGAGTCCCCACCTCCCCAGCTCGGTTCCTCCTGGTCTGGGTAAGAATTAGCATTTGCTCACCCATACAAACCAGAGACCTTTGCGCACTTAATCCACCCTTACTGTATCAGCAAAACCAGCTCTCTTCACCTCTGTGTCCCGGGTCTCCCAGTTCCCTCTTGTTCTCTGCACCTTCTGTCCAGAAGCAACACGGCAATTATCAGCCCTGAACTTCAAGTGTGGAAATTCCTATCTTCCTCCTTCTACTCCTAAGCGCCCAGGGCAGGCATTAGGACTGTCTTCTTTACCACCGCACCTCACGGGTGACTCGGGACTATGCGCCCCCAGCGCAGGTGGGGCGTCAGGAGTTAGTATATTTGTCTACGACGCCCTACATCACCCCCCACACCCAGACCAGGACCAGGGCTAGGCTAGGCTCAGCAAAGACCCTGCCACCGAGGGCCCGAAGTGAGCAGCGCCGGGTGGTGGCACCTGGCGTGCCGCCCGGGCTACCCCGCGCACCTACTAAGCGCTGCAGCCAGCCCCGCCCACGTCCCGCCCCGGCACCGCCTTCCAGAGCTGCAGCCAATGAGCAGTCAGCCCCGCATCCGGGGATCCTGGCGCGGCCACCGCCTCCCGCGCGCACATACGGCCATGGCGGAGGTGAGTGAGCGGGCCGGGGGAGCCGGCCCCCCGCCCCGTAACCGTGCCCCTGTCGCCGGAACCAGCCCTATCGGGGCCCGGAGCGAAGACCCTTGCTCTGGAGCCCCGAGACCGGGCCCGGGCGCCCCGCTTGTCTGGGCCGTTAGGGGCGCGGGGTTTCGTCGGCGGCCGCCCCCGGCCCGAGGGCCCCCCCCTCCCCGCGGCTGCCACATCGCGGACTGAAGTGCGCATGCGTGAGCGCGGGGAGTGGAGGGACGCCGGGTGGGGAGTGGGTGCCGGGGCGGGGGGAGGGTATGTGAGGTGGGGGCGCGTTCGGTGAGCAGGCGCGCGAGGCCTCAACACCACCGCTCACCAACTTTGCTGATTGCCGTGTGGGTTGGGATGGCAAAGACCGCGAGCCCCCATGGAGTGGGCAGACCCGCGTTATTTGAACCCCCGACTGGAGACAGGCACCACGGGTGGGTGGTTGCTGGGCGGACCTCAGGCTGAGTTAGATCGGCTGCACCGGCATGGAGTTGCTTCTCGAAAATCCGTGGGACCAACAGTGTTCTGCAACCCAGAATTTTTAGGACTTGAGGAATTGTTAGGGTTTGGGACCGAAATGTGTGATCAGACTCACCCAGGACAACCTGGAATAAAGAGTGATAGCGCATAGCTCCATGGTAGGGCCCACTGGGAACGGAAACTTTTGCATTTGGAACTTTCTTGATTTTGGAATGACGGACATGACAGTGAGAACCTGCTATCACCTGCCCACACCATGTAGGTAGGCTACTAGTGAGGAGAGAGATGATGATGTGTGTTGGGTGCAGGATCTGCCTGGGGCTGGATAAATGCGACTCTCGGTTCATGGCTATTCTGGGAGATGAATAAATGTGATTCTTTGGTGCATGGTGCTCTGTACTTGCCTCATGTTGCACTCTGGTCCAACAGAAGTTAGAACAGGTTCACATTCCTAAGATTGACCCTTTTACCTTGGGTGAAGCTGCTGAGGCCCAAAGAGGAGAAGCCATCCACTCCAAACAGCTTCATGGAAGCCAGAACTGGAAATTGGCCTGGTAATGGGGCTACACTGAGTGTTTATGACTTGGCTCAACATGTGTAAGCGTTGTGGAGGGCGGGATTGGCCATTCTTTCTCATCAGTGACCTTCTCAGGGCAATAACAGACTCCGTGTTTGTGTCAGAGTGTATAGGTATCAGGGAGTAAGGCTGGACCTCACCTGCTGGTTCCTGTCTTCTGCTGGGTGGCCAGATCCAGAGGGTTCTTAGAGGCTTAGGGAAACTGAGTCCTCATGGGACAGTGGCTGGCATTGAGAGTTGCAGGCAGAAGCCAGGTCTACAAGGCATGGTAGCTGTCTGGAGGCTCCTGACCTTGGCATGGCTGGCTTTCCTCCTGGGAGCTAGGTGGCATTTAGACAGTATACGTGGCCTGGCAGGTAGCTAGTTGTGTCTCTGGCCTCATGCAGCAGACTAGCCAGGTACCCCTGAGAGCTGTCGAATTTGGACTGTTGCTTCTGCCTTTTCTGCCTTTCCTGGGAAGAGCTCCTGAAGTGTTCACAGCACTTGGGTCCAGGTGCTTCTGTTACCTTGTTTTGTGTTTAGAGTGGAGCCCTGTTGACTTTCACATCATTGATTGGATTTTCTGAGGATTTCTCCCTCTTTTTGCCCCAGTGTTTGGATCCTTGCTAGGCCCTGGGGTCCAACAGTGAGTAGAGTAGATGGGCTGTCCTGGAGGGATTTAAAGTCTGGTGGAGAGAGCCACTAATCATGAAGGAGCTGCAAATGCAAGGCCTGAGTGTGTTGAGCCTCCCCCAGCCTCAGCCTGGAGGTCTTTTCTGGCCTTGGAGTCTATGTTTCAGAAATGCTCTGGCCCAGGAGCATAGGTCTCAGAAATGCTCAGCCTCAGTTTCCTCATTTCTCAAGTGGGAGGTTGACAGTGGTGGGAAGTTGACTGTTGACCTCCCATAGCTGGGAGGGCTCATGGAATCTTGGCATAGTGTCTTGTATGTGGAAGTTGCACCTTATGAAATGTCTGATATGCAGCTGTTTTTAACCCATAAAAATGACCATTTGTAACCTAATAGAGCTTGGTCAATATTAGCTACTTAATTGTTGTGTTTTTGCCTCAAAATAACCATCAGCAGCACCACAGTAAAAGACGGAATGCTTCTCCCTGTTCTTGAGTACCCTGAGTTAATCTTCTGAAAACCTAAGTCTGCCATCTTTCACTGCTGCATGAACCCTCTGGCTTTTCACTGCATCTCTTCACTGTGACCCAGCCTGGTGTGGGCCTAGTGACTCTCCATGGTCCCTGCCTCCTGTTTCCCCCGTGTGCTCTATGCCTGGAGGTGTACCTGTGAACTGTTCTGCTTCCCTCTGATTCTTGGTAGAGGTGACCTCCCAGGCTGTCTCTGACCCCCAGTTGAGGAGTCCCCATCCCGTTTCCTTCATTCCTGTGCCTTGATTTCTCCCTCAGTACTCTATAAGTTCCCCTGTTTGTCATCTGGGTCTGACTAGACTGGTAACTCTATGTGGGTGAAGACAGGTGGAACCTGTTTCTCTGGTTGTCCCAGAATGGCTGTTCAATTGGAGGAGTAAGGCTGAGGCCTGTCAGAGGGTGTGGGTGGTGGGAGGTCAGGGAGGACCTTGGGAGGAGGTCATTCCAGTTGAGGATGACTGTGTAGTGGGTTACTCTGAACTCAGTTTCTTGAACACAGCGGCCGCTTTGTTCTTTTGTTTTGTAGTTCTCAGGTTTGGCTGGGCTCTGCTAGGCAGTTCTCACTTGGGGTCTGTCCTGCAGTTGTAGCCAGTTGGTGACTGGGCCTGGAGTTAACGTGGGCCCCACCCACAGCTGGTTGTTGGCTGGGTCACATGCATGTGACCTCTCTGTGTTGGCTTGGGCTTCCTCACAGTGTGGCTGTTGTGTTCCAAAAGATGCCAGATGGAAACGGAATTGTACCCTGTGACCAGGCCTTGAAAGCCAGGTTGCAGTCCTCCATTACAGTGCCAAGCCTGGCCAGATTAGGGAAAAGAGCATGGGGGCAGGAGGTATGGGTGTAGCCACCCTCTTGGAGGGAGGGTAGAATTGCTGCAGTGTTGTTTTGGTTTAGCTCTGATTACTGGTAAGCGGGCATTAGATGCTGCTGGGGAGAAGACCATCCTGTACTCCGTATCAGAGAAGATGGGGTGACAGACTTGCCTCTTTTGCACGCAAAGACCTTGATGGATCTGTGACCCTTCCCTTCTTTGGGATTTAGCCTCTGAAATGCTATTTGTCCTTTTCTTCCTTTTGTTCCTTGGAATACCTTTGGCTAGCTCCCCATCTTTTCTTCCTTCCACCTTGATGCAGCAGAGGGCTTGGGCTTTGTTGGCCTTTGACACTGATGGGACCAACCTGAGTGTTGTGACTAAATGGAAGGAGGACCTGGAACCCACAATTTGAGTCTGCACCTGGGTGTCAGGCCCGGAGGTGTGTGTGTGTGTGTGTGTGTGTGTGTGTGTATTTGAGGAGGCTGGGTAAGTCTGCAGGTCCTGGTAAGTTTTGAGGAGCTTGAGGTCTCCTGGAGATGAACTTGAGGATCCAGAGCTAGCTGGCCCATGGAGAACAGACTGCCCGGGGCTTCCCTGTTGACTGCTTTTCCCGCCCTTCTTTGCTGCTGTTGTCTGCCCTCCTCTGCCTGAGGCCCCACTGTCCCTCTTAGATGGCAAGTCAGACTGGCCAGGTCTGCCTCAGACCCTGCCAGGGACCCTAGACCATTGCCCCTGAAGACATATTACCTCCCTCATTCATTCCACTCAGTGAGTCTGTGGGAACTGTTGCTCATCTGTCATCTAAAATGTAGCCTTATTTGGCGTCTTTTCCCCAACCCCCAATTAGTCAACATTCTTGTTTGCAAGAACAGAGAGCCAGTCCCCTGGTGGAGATGGGAAAGGTTTCCCAGAGACCCCCTGTTTCCACCATGCAGAGGGGTCTGGGAGACCCATGCAGGGATGATTCTAGAGGTTACTAGGAATCCTAACCATAGCTTTGTGGCTTATTGGCCCATGCAAGGGAGTCTGTGGGGCTGTGACAGCCTGCAGTTCCAGGAAGGCAAGAGGCATTCCATGCCCCATGGCTGCCAGCACAGTGTCCCTTCTCTGCTTCCAGCCCCTGTAGCTACCCCAGCTGGGCCCCTGCCCTCTGCCCTTCTCACTGCCCTTTGTCGCCATGGGTACATCCTTGAAAGGTGGTTGGGTGCATCACTTCCCTCTTAGAACCTGGAGGGCTCCTGACACGTCTTCCCAGGGGACACACCTTGGGCATTGAAGCCCTCTGCTAAGTTGCTACAAGTCATACCTTGTGCCTCCCTTGCCTCCCTTTTTTGCTGCATACTGATGTGCGGTACTGTCCTTTATGCTCCCCAGTAGAAGGACACAACTAGTAAGGGTTTTTAAGTCTGAGCTTGAGTTTGTAGTTGTACGACTTGACTTGCTGTGTGAGTTTGGGTACGTGACTTGACCCTCTCTGAGCTTTGGTTTCCTTGTTTCTCTTACGGAGAGAAGGAGTACACTACCTCTGAGGTTTCCTTGAGGACCCAGTAAGTGAAGTGTTCCTTTCAAGTTTTCAGAGTTTATTTCATTAAATATTCTAGTCTTTTTTTGGCAACAGCTTTACTGAGACGTATGATTTGCCACATAGTACACCCATTTTAGTGTGTACGATTCAGTGGTTTTTAGTATTTTCAGAGATGTGTAACTACCAACATAATCCGTTACATTTTCATCATTTCTAAAGAAGTCCCTGTTAACCACAGATCTGCTTTCTATCTCTGGATTTGCCTGTTTTGGACATTTGCTGTCAGTGGAGTCACACACTGTAGGGCCTTGTATGTCTGGTTGTCTCACTGAGTATGATGTCCCCAAGGTCCCTCCACGCTATAGCATGTGCCAGAGGCTTGTCCTGTTCTTGGCTGAGCAATGCTTTAGTGTGGTGTTTTTGTCTCTTTTATCAGCATACAGAGATTAGGATGATTTCCTCTTTGTGAGCGGAGGAGTGTTTTGGGGGATGAACTGAAGGGCTCATGCTAGCTAGGAAGTGCCCTACCACTTGAGTCACTCTGCCAGCCCTTTTGCATTGGTTAATTTAAAATTTTTTTGAGTTGTCATATATTAATTAATACAAGGGGATTTCATTGAGATGATTCCATACAGCGTACCTTGAACAAGTTCACCCTGTCATTGTATTCCCATACCCTCTTCCCTCTTCCTTGCTTTTTCAAACACTGTTTGGTGGGTGTCATTATGCTGTCTTCATATGTACATATTTGTACTCCAATCCCCTTTGCCCTCAGTATCTTTTCCTTTCCCCTCCCCCACCAGCCCCACCACAGACATTTGCATTCATGGCCTGTCATGATCATTATTTTAGGGTTAGGGCCACAAATGAGTGAGAGCATGATACTTGGCTTGGTTTATCTCAGCATTATGCTCCATCCATTTTCCTGCAAGTGACATAATTTTATTATTATTTATGGCTGAATATATTCCATGGTATGTATGTGTGTATCCTCCCCAGCATTTGCTGTTTGTTTTCTTGATGATGGCCAGTCTGACTGGGGTGAAAAGGAATCTTCGTGTAGTTTTGATTTGTGATTCCTTTATGGCTAAGCATATTGAACATGTGTTTATTAACTGTATGTTTTTGAGAACTATGTTCATTTGTCCATTCTTCTGCTGTTTAGTTTTTTGAACTCTGCATATTCTGATTTTTTTTTTTTGGGGGTGGTACTGGGATTTGAACTCAGGGTCTTATGCTTGCTAGGCAGGTGCTCTACTACTGGAGCTACTCCACCAGTAGTACAGTATTTTTGTTTTGTGTACTTTCGACATAGGGTCTTGAGAACTATTTACCTGGGCCTGCCTCAAACTGTGATTCTCCTGGCATCTGCCTCCTGAGTAGCTAGGATTATAGATGTGATCCACTGGCACCTGACCTTGTATATTCTGGATATTAATCCTCTTTTTTTTTTTTTTTTTTAATGGTACTGGGGCTTAAACACAGGGCCTACACCTTGAGACACTCCACCAACTCTTTGTGTGATAGTTTTTTCTGAGATAGGATCTCACAAAGTATTTGCTGGGGCTGATTTTGAACCACGATTCTCCTGATCTCTGCCTCCTGAGTAGCTAGGATTACAGGTGTGAGCTACTGGCACCTGGCTGGATATTAATCCCTTTATCTGTGGAATAGCTGATGAATATTTTCTCCCATTCTGTGGGTTGTCTCTTGATTCTGCTAATTGTTTCTTTAGATGTGCAGAAACTTTTAAATTTCATGTAGTCCCTTTTGTCAATTCTTGTTCTTATTTACTGGGCAACTGGAGTCCTATTCAGAAAATAATTATGCCTCTATCTTCCAGAGTTTTCCCTGTTTTTTCCCATAGCAGTTTCAGAGTTTTAGGTCTTACATTAAGGTCTTTGATCCATTTGGAGTTGATTTTCGTACAGCATGAGAGATAGGGGTTTGTTTTCAGTCTTCTGCATGTAAATAGCCAGTTTTCCCAACTTGTGTTGGTTTATGCCCTGGCCAGCCTGGACTGCTATCCTTCTATTTGTACTAGCCATGGAGCTAGATGACAGATGCATACCGCTGTACACAGCTTGGTTGAGTTGGGGGGGTCTCATGAACTTTTTTCCCAGGCTGGCCTCAAATTGATCTCAGGCTTCTGAGTAACTAGGATTACAGACTTGAGCCACTGTGCATGCCTTCTACTTTTTTCGATTATATGAATAATCTTGCTATGATCATTTATGTGTAGGTTTTACTGTAGATGTATGTTTTCATTTCTCTTAGAGTTGAAATCCTGGGTCACATGGTGTCACTGTGTCTGACTTTGGAGGAACTGCCAGACTGTTTCCCAAACTGGCTGCCCCATGTCATATCAGCAGCATGTGAGGTTCTAGTTTGTCCACATTCTTGCCAACACTTTTTGGCAGTAGCTGTTCTGTGATTAAGAAGTGGCATTAATTGGGGATATGCTGTTGCTGTTCCCTGATAGGATATAGAGTGTCTTTTCATGTATTGTTGGTCATTTATGTATCTTTGGAGAAACACATGTTCGGGTCCTGTGTCCATTTTTAAATTGGATTGTTTATCTTTTTATTATTGTACGAAAGCATTGTATGTACACACCCCTTACCAGATACATGATTTGCAAGTATTTGCCTCCATTGTTTTCACTTTGTTTTTCCACATTTTCATTAGTGCATAGTAGTTGTGCAGTAATGGGAGATTTCATTGTGTTATTTTCATATATGCATATAATATTCTTCGTGTATATTTTCCTTTTGTTGCTTGTACTTCTTATATCTTATCTAAGAAACCATTCCAAATCCAGATTCACAAATATTTATCCCTGGTTTTTCTTCTAAGAGTTTTATAGTTTCAGCTCTAGGTCTCTCATCCATTTTGTGTTACTTTTCACATATGGTGTGGTGAGGTAGGGTCCAACTTCCAACTTCATTCTTTTTCATATTCCTTTGTTCCCGGCACCATTTGTTAAATAAGACTGTTCTCTGTTGCATTGTTTTGGTGCCTTTGTCAAAATTCATTTGACTGTGAATGTGTGTTTACTTCTGAATTCTCAGTTCTGTTTCACTGTCTTTCTTTGCCTGTCCTTATACCAGCACCACACTGTTTTGATTACTGTGGCTTTCTAGTAAGTTTTGAAATTGGGAATGCTCTTGTTCAGGATTGTTTTGACTATTATGGGTCCCTTGAGTTTACATATGCTTTCTGGAACTTGCTTGTCAATTTCTACCAAGCCCACTGGGATTCTGATAGAGATCATGTTGACTCTGTAGATTACCTGGGGAGGGTCCCCATCTTATAGTATGATTTTTCTAAGCCATGAGCATGAGGTGTCTTTCCATTTATGCAGTTTTTTTATGCTATTACTTTAGTATTTAAACTAAATTATATTTATTTTAATATATTTAATATATTTTTAATGTAATATTTTAATTAAAAACAATGTGCTAATGAATAGACATCTTTTACAGCTTGCAATTTGACAATATATTAACTATGTTTATGATTATATTTGTAATATCTATAATTATATAAACTATTATTTTTTATTATTATCATATTGTTATACTGGGGTACATTATGACATTTACAAAAGAGCTTACAGTGTAGTTAAATTCATCTTCTCCTTCATTCTCCTTTATTGCCCCTCTCTCCTTAGCACTGCTTTATTCTTAAGGAGTATACCTTTTACATATCTCTTGATACATACACACACAGACACACAGACACACACACACACGCAAACACTATTTGTTTTTTGGAGGACCTGGAGGTTGAACTCAGGGCCTTGTGCTTGCTAGGCAGGCTCTGTGCCATTGGAGACACAATTCCAGCCCTCTTTGTGTTGGTTAGTCTTTGGGCCAGCCAAGACAGTGATCCTATTTGTGTTAGCCCATATAGCTGGGATGGCAGATGTGTTCTGCTGCATCCATCCATTGGTTGAGGTGGGGTTTTGCTAACTTTTTGCTTTAGCTGACTTTGAACCATGATCTTCCTGATCTCAGCCTCTCAAGTAGCTAGGATTACATGTACATGAGTGAGCCACCATACTCTGGCCTCTTGATGCTATAGTAAATGGAATTTCTTCTTAATGTTTTTGGATTGTCCATTGCTAGTACATAGAAATAAAATGGATTTTTAGATGTTGATCCTGTATTCTGCAGCCTTGCTGAACATATTTATTTGTTAAAATAATTTTTAGTTAGAGTTTGTATGTACAAGTCATATCACAGCACAAAGAGACAGTTTTACTTTTCTCTCGCCTGTCTGGATTCTTTCATTTCACTTTCTTGTATCAACTAGACCTTCTGGTACTTTATTGGTAGAAGTGGTAAGAGTAGCCCTCATGTCTTTTATTGGGGAAAAAGGGCCAACTTTTTTTTTTTTTTGGTAGATTTGAACTCAGGGCCTTACACTTGCTAGGCAGGCACTCTACCACTTGAGCCACTCTGCCAGCCCTTTTTGCATTGGGTATTTTTGAGATAGGGTCTCTTGATTCTCCTGATCTCTACCTCCAGAGTAGCTAGGATTATAGGCATGAGCCACTAGTGCCCAGCTAAAAGGGCCCAACTTTGATCATGGAGTATAAATGTGGTTATGGGTTTTGTAGTTGCCCTCCATCAGGTTGAGAGAGCCCATCTGTTCCTGGTCTCTGTCCAGTCCTCTGTTGTCTGTCTGCACCCCTCTCCCTCCAGTGCTGGGGATGGAATCTAGGCCCTTGGGCTATCCCTTTAGACTTTTTGTTTGTATTTTGTTTTTGAGACACGATCTCACTAACTTTGCCCTGTAGGGCCTTGAACTCACGATCCTCCTGTTTCTGCCTCCTTAGTACTTGAGATTATAGACTTGGCCACCATGCCTGGCATTTCCTGGTTTATATATTGTAGATTTATAGACCATAAAATATGCCAGCTTAAAGTATAGAATTAGTTTTTAGCAAATTCACAGACTCATTCAACCACCACCTCTATCTAGTTCCATAACATTTCCATCACCCCAAAAGGAAGCCCTGTCCCCATAAGCATCATCCCATCCCTCCCCCAGCCTCTGGTAACCATGATTCCACCTCCTGTTTCGACTCGCCTGTTTTGTATGTTTTCTAACCTGGAGTCTCACACTGTGGGGCCTTTTGTGTCTGGTTCTCTCACTGAGCATGGTATTTCCCAGGTCCATCTATGTCATAGCTTTGCTGTGAGAGGTGCATGGCAGTGGCTGCCTGCTCCTCCTTGCTCTCAGTGACTCCAGCCCTTAGCAGCAGATACGAAGCCATCACTCAGGAACTGGCTCTGACCCTGCCCACTCTTGCTGCCATGCTGTGAGATCCGGTAGTGGGTTCTGGGCCACTGAGCTAACCCTGCCTCTCTTCTTTTGCAGGCCTCCTCGCTGGGGAGGCAGAGTCCTCGCGTGGCCTCCTGCCTTGCACACAGCCTGTGCCCCAGGGAGCCCAGCTTACAGACGACAGCAGGTACCTTCTTTACCCATTCCTCCTGCCTAGGTCTTCCAGGGCCTTGGTGGCTGAAGGGGAAAGGTGCAGGGGAGGTGTGTGCAGAGCTGTTGGGGCTCTCTTTGCTCTCTGGAGTCCTGGGAATGGTGGCTGGCTGAGGGAGAATGAGCTGAGGCGGTCCTGTGTCTGCCCTGAGCTGGCAGATTGCCCGATGGCATTAAAGTCCCCAGTCCCCTCCTTCTGGCCAATGGCTTTGGATGTATGAGGAGGAGTTGTTATGGATGGGGAGGGTTTCTGCCATCAGGTTGCTGCTGTAGGCTAGGAGCAAGGCTGTGTCCACCCCATTGTCCCTGTGTCCCCACACAGGACTCCTCCAAAGGAGTGACTGGTCACAGGGGCCAAGGGAGCAGAGGCAGCTGTGGTCATGCTCTGATCCCCCATGCTGAGTGCACATAGCTGTCCCGTGCTGCTTGGCAATGTATGGTGCATACTGCTGGACCTGCTGTGCTGGGTTCCAGCCCTGGTTTGGGCTCAGTGGAGTCCCGGCTACTTTCTGTTGTGTGCTTGCTTTAAATTTGACTTAACTGAATGTGGTCATGGAGAGACCCTGGTCCTTGGGGAAAACCTGTCAGTTATAGTCCCTGTCTTGTGGTCTGCGCCTGTAGCATAGCTGCTTTATATGACAAGGCTGTGGCCATGCAGACAGATCTGTAGGTATCACTGCATGTGGCCATGGAGCCAGCCTGTGAATTCCTCCGTTCTTCCCACTTTCCCCTAACTGGTGCCCGCCCCTGCCTACTTCATGTGCTCCTGCTTGGGCCCTGTGGACCTCAGCGTTCAGGAATCTAAGCAATCCTGACCCACATCCCAGAGTTTGTGTGTGCTCCTCTGTCAGTTCTCCACTGATCACACACCTCTGAGGTGCCCCCATGACAGGCTGACCCTGTTGAGTGACTTCTGTGCATCAGTGTGCACACAGACTTAATATTGGAGGTTTTGTCCTTGGGGACAGTGGGGCTGCCATTTCTCTGCCCAAGACATCTCTGGTCTCTGTGTGGTGGTGGGGACAGGTGAGGTGAGGCTTACCTGGCTGGGGTCTCCTCTACAGTGGTGTCCATGGGCTCTGCAGACCATCAGTTCAACCTTGCAGAGATCTTGTCACAGAACTACAGCCTCCGGGAGGGGTGTGCAGAAGCCTCAAGGTGCCCTGATAAGCCCGAGGAAGAGCTGGACAAGGACTTCATCTCTCAGGTATGGGTGGGGCACTGCCTTCTGCTCATTTGGGTTCTGTGTGGCTTGGTGCTGCGTGCACCTGAGTTTTCAGAGTGCGAGGCACCTTGCTGGGAGTGGTAGCTCAGGCTCTTGCCCAGCTGGCCCACATGGGACTCTCCCCAGCATAATCAGATCTCTGAGTCTCACAACCGCTTCTGCTTCCAGAAGTTGTAGAGGTGCTCTTCCAGAGGTGCTTGAAGAGCTTTGTGTGTGTTGGTAAGCTTGCACCTTTTATTGTATTGAAAGTCAAAACCAACCAGGCCCCAGTGACTCACAACTATAATCCTAGCTACTTGGGAGGTTGAGATTGGGAGGATCCTGGTTTGAGACTAAACTGGGCAGATAGTTTTGCAAGACCCCCATCTCCAAAATAACCAGAGTAAAAGTGGACTGGGGGTGTGACTCAAGCAGTAAGAGTGCTTGCTTTGTAAGCACAAAGCCCTGAGTTCAAACCCCAGTCTCCCCTCTCCCCCCCCAAAAAAAGTCAAATGGAGGCATTTACAGAGTTCTCACTAACTCATGTAAAGCAACAGTGACTAGGGTGTTGCTCAGTGGCAGAGCACTGGCTTAGCACATGCAAGATCCTGGGTTCTATCTGAGCATTGCAAAAAAACAACCCACCCCCTGATTCATGTTAATAGAAATAGCATATTTTTATGAAGATAAAAAATGACTCCATTTTCCAAAGGAAATCTGGGAGAAGAGGGGAATGTTACACTTTCCACATTTTTGCACAGAAGTAGCTGTGAGTCCTGTTACTGCCTGGGAGACTGGTGTGGGTTGGTCGTGGCCCCTTCTGGCCAGGCATAATACGGCATTGTCTGCTACCTGCTCTCTAAGCAGAAGAACAGAGTGGCCCCATGCTCACCATCCCTCCAGTGCCCTTGCAGTGGCCATCCCACTTTGGTGTCCAGCACATTCCATATGCACCACCCTTTTCCTACACAGTGAAGTAAATGGTCTGCTCAGGGTGAGATTTCCTAGTTGCTGACTTTAGCCAGGATGTTTGTGTCTGTGAGGGATGTTACTGTGACTGCTGTCACACTGATGCACCTGCTGTGGCTTGTGTTGGACAGCCACTTGCCCCTGCCACTTTGTCTCAAGGGTCAACCCAGTGGAAAATGGAAATATTATCTTGGTGCTGCTGCCTGGGGTGGGGGTGAGAGCAGGCCATCAGAGCTGCCCCAGTGGTCCCTAGGGTCTCAGACACTTCGTAGCTTCCCAGTAGAGGTAGCATTGGAAACCGCCATGGCCATATAGACACCTCCCCTCTTGGACCCCTGGGATGAGTCAGGGCAGAAATTGAGGTGCAGGGAAGGCAAGTGCTGACAACTGAAGAAAGGGAGGGGACCTCCAGGAAGTTGAGAGCCAATGCTGACTTCTTAGAGTGGGGTGAGCATGGCATCTGCTCCGGACCCTAGGCAGGGTCACAGGCAGTGGAGAATAGCAGAGAGGAGAGGACCTTGACACTTTGCTTCTGTTTCCTGTGGTGTACATAGACCACAGCATCAGGACCATAGCTGACCACAGTGCTCTGGGCACTGCTGGGCACTGCTGTGCTGCTGGTGTTGCTTGATAGAGTCTCCATTATTTGAAGCATCCGTCTGTTTACTTAGTTTACTGTTTTTTTTTTTTTTAAATCAGGAATGGATGTTGGATTTTACCATGTGTCGCCTTCTGATTTGTTTTTCCCCTTTGACTCACAGATTTCATGAGTTTTGATAGTAGATAGTTAAATGTCAAACCATCCTGGCACAGGAATTCCACACAGGCCTGTGCAGGATAGTGACCACACCTGTCCCTGAGACACCCTGGCTCAGGTGTCTCCTCTGCCTATCCTGAATGCAGGCTGGGCCTAGGGCTGGCTGGCAGTACTGCCACATGGAGACTTGTTGAGGGTGTGACAAGGGGTCCTGGTTATGGTGGCCAGAAAGGCTCAAGCAGAGGAGGGGGACCAGCACTTCCAGGCTGTTCAGCCCTCCTGACAGGGCCCTGACCCTCCCTTCCAGAGCAGTGACATGCCTCTCGATGAGCTGCTAGCACTCTATGGATACGAGGCATCAGACCCCATCTCAGAGCAGGAGAGTGAGAGCGGTAATGCAACTCCCAACCTCCCAGACATGACACTGGACAAGGTGAGTTGGGGGGCTGCTCCTGGAAGTGCCTAGCATAGATGGGATTTCCACAGGGCTCCAGTCTGGCTGGAAGGAACTGGCTGCAGTGTAGAGGGGGTTTGCATGTGGTCCCTGGCCGCCCCTGGCTGAGAGGTCAGCAGGAGGGGACACCACAGCAGATGGGGGAGGTATGTGATCAGCAAGCACGAGAACAGTCTGAGGGCTGCTTGTCTCCCCAGTGTTGTAACTGGCATAGCTACTATGACCAACTGCCCAGGGAAGAGGGGCAATGGTGATAGGCCAGTTGGGTTCTGTTGTGGGTGGACAGGAGGGAGACCAGAGGCTGTCCTGGAGAAATGCAGCCAGGAAGGGAGCTGGAATGCCCTGAGGTCAGGTGGGGGCTGCATTAGGGAAACTGAACACAAAACATGCAGATAGACCCAAGAGCTGGGGGGGCAGCAGTTGCGGCCCCCTCTTGTCTCCCTACCTATGATCAGCCTGGCCTTACATCTCCCTCTCTCATCTCCAGTGTGGGAATGACAGTACACAGTACACAAGGTGCTCCTGGGAGGTCTGCTCATAGTGACGTGTTACTGGTGGTGTGATTTTGGTGCACTTCAAATAAAGCAAACTGCACATTTTCTTTACTTTTCTTGTTAAAAGGAACAAATAGCGAAGGACTTGCTTTCAGGGGAAGAGGAGGAAGAGACACAGTCCTCGGCTGATGACCTCACCCCATCCGTCACATGCCATGAAGCCTCTAGCCTCTTTCCTAACCAGAGCGGGTGTAGGTGTCCCTGTCCTTTTTTGCACTGTAGCCCCAATGCCAGGCTCTGTGACGTGCATACAGGGCCTTGGCCAGTGCAGCAGTGTGTGCTACATTATGTGTTGTTGGCCCAGGTGTGGGCTGTCCTGTATAGTCGATTTGGTTCAAACCGGGAGGGTATGTGGCAATACCTGAGCAGGTACCGGATAGCAACCCCAGGCTGTCAGAACTGCCTCTCCTGCCTGCCTGCCTCTCCTGTCCCTGGCAGTGGAGATGTCCCTTCATGGATGGTTCTGGTCCTGTGCTTAAGGAGGGGTCACGGTGGCAGATATGTGGGCTGCAGGCAGGGAGCTTGGGACCTGCCCACCAGTACCACAAGAGCAGGGTTGACACACGCAGTGCCAGGGATGTAACTCACTACCTTCCCTTTTCTGCAGCCCGCTTTCTGGGTAATGAAGATAAAGATCCTAGCTCTTCAGCTTCCTCTGACACTGAGGAGGACTCTCTTCCTGCCAACAAGTGTAAGAAGGTGCGAGGCTATGCCATCACTCAGGTCTAGGGACATCCTGACTTCGGGAACCCCTGAGTGGGTTTCTGTTCCTTCTTTGCGATGGCTGCTGTGGCTCCCAAGATGGGCTGAATTCCAGCTGCAGGGTCTTGGGCCTGGGGCTGTGCTCGTACAGCTGTCCCAGAGGTCTAACTATGCCCTAGCAATGTGGACTGGCATCTTGTCTAGGGCCTGTTAGACTGGGCAGCAGGATGTTCTGTTTCTCCCACCATACCCAGGTTCCTGCCTCCCCCTGAGAGTGCAGAACTGGGCATATGGACGGATCTGGTTAGCGGCCGTCTGCCTGGAGCTCACAGCAGTGCTTTAGTGGCTAGAGGTCTCCCTGTGCCCTGACCCTGGCCGTTGCCTTTACCTATGCAGGAGATCATGGTGGGGCCTCAGTTCCAAGCTGACCTTAGCAGCCTGCACCTGAACCGACACAGCGAGAAAAGTAAGTGGGGTCCCGGGGAAGCAGAAGCGAAACCCAGTCCAGCTGTGTTTGGCTGTAGGGGATGAACTGGCTGGATGTTAGATCCTTGGAGAGAATCTAAGCTAGGTCAAGCAGTGGGCTGAGGCCAAGCTCTTGCTTGCTGTCTGTGAGTGGGGTTCAGTGTTTCTGAGCCTGGGCCCTGTGGTCCTGTTCCCTGTGCCGGCCTTGGTTCACATGGCCCTGTTCTTCCTAGCACCATCACCAGTGCCTGCTGCCCCTGTACAGGCTGGGTGCTAACCTGCCATCTTCCCTCAGCCTCTTACCCTGTGCTGGTGCCCTGAACTCTGGGTCTGGGCTCATCTCAGCCCTCATTGGGTTGATGTCTGGCACAGTTATTCTCTGTTGTCCTGGGTCTCTCTGACCTACTTCATTTCTCTCCAGGGTGCTTTCTATCCCTTCAATGCAACATTTGTTTGTGTTTCCCTTTGGTTTAGAGCCCTCTTCTCTGTATATATGGGAGGTCACTTGCCTTTGCCTTGTGTCTGACCTTTTTTCCCTGTGCTTCAGGGCTTGGGCTGCCCCTGTCAGGAAGCATGTCTCACATGATTCAGCAGTGGGGATGAGATGACAAGGGACAGACACAGGAACATGAATGGTCAGAGACAGGGACTCTCCCAGGATCAGGGGTTGGGACGTGGGGTGTGTGTGGGATGTGCCTGCCTAGCCTCAGGGCCAGAGGGCCACAGGGGTGCCCTTCCAGCATGGTACTTGTGTTGAACTTCTGTGTGGACCTCAGTGTAGAGCCCAGCTTCAGAACATCATCTGGGCCTTTTTCCTGTCCTGCTTACCCTCATAGCAAGCTCTGCCAATGTTTAGCCCTGCCGGGAGCAGCCATGGCCTCCTGATTCCGTGGTCTTACTTGGTGTTATGGCTGTGGACTCTGTCCACATGATGTATCTTTCATGCTGTATTGTGTTCCTTTTTGCTTGTCCCTTGGTTGGGATCATGGTTGTCTCCAGCTGGGTGTCTTCAGTGGATGTACACACTGGCATTGGGTGAATAGCTAGTTGGTGCATTGTAGGTGGTTCTGCTTGTTTTCCACCACAGCTTAGTTAGGCATTCCAGTTTCTCCACATCTTTCTTAGAATTTGACTTTATCTGTTCTTGTGGATCTGAGCCCTTCTGGTGGGTGTGGCTTTTTTTTTCTTTTGAGACGAAACCTTGCTATGTGGCCCAGGCTGGCCTGGTACTCTTGATCCTCCTGCCTCAGCTTCCTGGGTGCTGGGATTACAGGTGTGATCCACTGTGCCCTGTGCCATCCACTGTGCCCTGTGCCTGGCTCTCACTGGCCATTTGAATGTTGTCTTTGGTGTCCTCATTTCCAGCTTGGGTTGTCTCTTTCTCTCTGATCTGTGGGGGTTGTTTACATGTTTTGGACACAGTCCTGGGTTGACTCTGCACTACTGATGTTTCTTCTAGTTCATGTCTTGCCCTTTGACTCTCATCCCTGTGTCTTTAATTTTAATATAGTACAACATGTCAGTCTGTTTTCATAGAACATGAAAACAGATTCATGGTCTTGAAAAGAACCTGTTTCCTCTGGAGGCTTTGCTGCCTTCCCTTTTATATGTCAGGCAGTGTGCTAATTGAGGTTTTTTTTTCCGTTCTGGGGCTTGAACTCAGGGTCTTCACTTTGAGCCACTCCCCAAACCCTTTTTGTGATGGGTATTTTCGAGATAGGGTCTCATAAACTGTTTGCCTGGAATGTCTGAACCATGGTCCTCCTGCTCTCTGCCTCCTGAGTAGCTAGGATTATAGATGTGAGCCATTGGTGCCCGGCTTGAGTTGGTTTTTAGTGATGCCAGGAGGTGAGGGCCAGGGCGCTTCATTCCATAGGGAAGCGCATTTGCTCTGGCACTATACATGGCAAAGGTACGTTCTGCCCCAACTGAGTAGCATGGTGCTTTTGTCATAAATCTGGTGTCTGTAAAGTGCAGGTTTTTCTGAGGCTCTGTCCTATTGGTCTTTTGTCTGACCCTGAACCATGGCTGTGCTGTCTTAACTATTGCAGGTTTACAATGAGTGTGACAGCTGCATCTCCTCCAGTGTGTTAGATTTCATTTTATGCAGGTTAAGATTACCTGTTGGGGTTTTGATGAAGCTTGCGTTGAGTCTGGGTTAAGTTGGGGAGAACTGATTTATTAACACTATTGCTCATTCCAGTCCATGAACATTGTTTACTTTCCTGTTCAGCTCTTCAATGTTAGCAGTGTTTTGTAGTTTTCAGGGTAGGAGTCTGGTACTAATTGATGCTACTATAAGAGCATTTACAGTGTTTTAATTTTCACCTTGATTCTTGCTGGTAGAAATGCACCTTATTAGTGACTTACCTTATTAGTGACTGTACTAAATTCCTAATTTTAATACTTTGTAGATTCTTTCATATTTTTTATGTACCCAGTCATATTATTTACTAAGGAGAGTTTGGCTTCCCTCCTTGTAGTCTTTGTTATCTCTTCTTTTTCCTGGCTCACTATACCTGTTGGTCCAAGTCAGGGTGTCAGGGGAGCAGGGAATGTCCTTACCTTGTGCCCATCTCAGGGACAGTGAGGTGTGATGAGTCCATGAGATTTCTGTACAGTCTTCATCAGATGAGATAGCCCCCTTCTGTCCTGTTGTTGATGTTTTTGTTTGGCTGTGCACGAGTGGAGTTTCATCAGATGCTTGTTTTGCTGTATCATGTTGGGATTTTTCTTGTTTTGTTCATGAGGTGCATCTCACTGACTGGTTTGCAGATGTGACACCAACCTTGCATTAGGAAGGAGCCTCCTCTTGTTCATGAAGTGTTGTCCTTCCATAGTCAGTCCTAGTTACCTGTCTTCTCAGCATTTATCCCTGACCCCCAAACAGCCCTGACAGCACTTTTGTGGTTGTCCTGGGTGTGCATATGCAGAGTGGCAGCAGGGCTGCGTTGTGCAGAAGGCTGGACATAGTGGAACACTTTCGTTGAGATGGTCTTGCTAACTTTTTGTGTGGGCTGGCCTTGAACCACAATCCTCTCAATCTCCACCTCCTGAGTATCTGGAATTTCACTTTCATTTTTCTGAAGAATATTTTCTTACTGTAGGAGCAGAGCTTTCTCTTTCCATGCTGGGTCAGTTGTCCATTGTCTTTTTGGCGCTGTGGTTCTGTTAAGTGTCAGATTTGTGTCTGTCCTTACCTTGTGCCCATCTCAGGGACAGTGTGTTTGTGTTAAGGTGTGATGAGTCCATGAGATTTCTGTACAGTCTTCATCAGATGAGATAGCCCCCTTTTTCCCAAATGTACATAAGACTTGTTCTTGTTTTTCTTCTAGCATTTCAATGATGGTGTGCCTGTTCACACATATCCTTACTTTTCTTTATGTTTTTCGTGACTTTCTGGGATTGAGGTGGTATCTGGAACATTCTTGGCTGTCATCTCTTCAGATTTTATCTGTGCTCCTTTCCTGACCTGGTCACCTCTACTTAGCTGTGAAGAGGGACTGTTGGAGGGAAGACATTGCCGTGCTACCTGTACCTGTTCCCTGGGCTGTTGGCACTTAGAGAGAACTCTGCCAGGTGTCCATGGTTCTGGCCCCATGGCACTGTCTAGTGACAACAGTTTTATGGAGTGTGTTACCTGCCATTGCTCTGGTTGGCCTTGTTTGTTTTCAGTTGTTGGTTTAGGTTTTGGTCCCTGTGACTCTGTCCTAGATTGCTGTGAGGTGCTGGCTCTTGGGGCTGTCCCAGCCCTGGCCTTCATGTCCATCCCCAGAGGTGCTGCCCCTCCCTGAGGAAGCCGATTACTGCTTTTCCTCCACCTCTTTATTTTATCTCTTTCCCTAGCCCACTGCTGTGCATGAGATGTCTACCCAAGTGAGGTGCCTCTTGCAATGCTTGTAGGACCCTGTCGGGATGTACCAGTGACCAGGAGAGCCCCTGCCCTGGGTGGACAGCACCCCTTTCATGAGCTCTGTGATTGCAGCTTTAAGCCAGTCTCACTTCGAGTGCTCCTTTCTTAATCCCTTCCCCAGAGCTGCCTCTAATGTCCTTGCCTGGGTCAGGCGCCCACTGCCACCCTGAGCCATAGCCTCCTGTTCTTTCCTTGAGTGCCCAGAGCAAGCCCTGGACTCATTCTTTTTTCTTTGTTTTTGGTGGTACTGGGGTTTGAACTCAGGGTCTCTACTACTTGAACCATGCCCTTAACCCTTTTTTGTTTTAGTAATTTTTTAGTCAGGGTTTCTTATTTTTGCCTGGGGCTAGCTAGCCTCAGACCATGATCCTCCTACCTATGACCTTCGGTGTAGCTGGGTGACAGGTGTGCACTACCATGTCTACCTTGGTGGTTGGTTGAGATGGGGATCTTGCTAACTTTTTGCCTGGGCTGGTCTTGAACCTTGATCCTTCCAATTTCCATGTTTTGAGTAGCTGGGATTATAGGTATAGGCCACAGCACCTAGCCTGGACCTATTCTTTACTCTGAACAGCATGCGACTAGGAAGTGGTGATCTAGGTTGCAGTGTGTGGAGAGTGGATACCCTCCCTGATGGGAGTAGCTGAGATGACCATCCCAGCTCTCCTGGCATAGGCAGGAGCCAGTGCCCACCACTTGACCCTCGCCCTCTTCCTGCACAGTCTATGAGAATGAAGACCAGCTGCTCTGGGTCCCCAACATCCTCCCAGAGAGGGAGGTAGAGGAGTTCCTGTACAGGGCAGTGAAGCGGAGATGGCATGAGATGGCTGGCTCTCAGCTCCCAGAGGGTGAGACCGTAAAAGACAGTGAGCAGGTATGGACCACTGTGCTGGGCAGGGCTGCAGGTGCAGTGCCCATGCAGATGGCTTGACTGATGTCACCTGGAAACAGTGAGGGACTGGTCAGGCTTGTGGGGCTGTGCCAGATTGAGAGGATACAGCAGCCCAGGATGGACACTCAGCAGGGAGGGGAGTAGATGCCCCCGTGGTTCCCAAGAGGGTTGTGCAGGTGCTCCTGTTGCCCTGGGAGGTGGTGCAGTTGCCCTGTTGTTGGACTTGGTGGACAGGTGGGAACAGTGAACTGTTCTTTTCTCAGGCACTGTATGAGTTGGTGAAATGTAATTTCAATGTGGAGGAGGCCCTGCGAAGGCTGAGGTTCAATGTGAAGGTGATTCGAGGTGAGCCACAGTCCCGGGCTCCCCTCACTGTCCCCTGGTGCCCACTGGGTCCGCTGACCAACACGCTCCGTTTGCAGACGGGCTCTGTGCCTGGAGTGAGGAGGAGCGCAGGAACTTCGAGCACGGCTTCCGTGTTCACGGGAAGAACTTCCACCTGATACAGGCCAACAAGGTAAGGGTGCACAGAGGGGCTCAGGCTGGTAACTCCATGAGAGGACTGGGCTCGCCACCTCTGCCTCCCTGTGTGCTCATCAGTGTCTCACTCTGGTTTCCTTGGCTATCTTCACTGGGTCCCTTTCCCGTCCTCAAAGAACAAGGTTGACCAGTTTTGGGAACTGATCTGCTGAAAGGTGAACTCTTGTAGTTGTGCCTGGCTCACATTTTACCCTATGATCATGGGCATTTTCCCTGTCACTTTTGTGTCTTCAGAGTAGAGTCTGTTGGCTTAGTGCCTAATGGTGTGGGGATAAGGACAAGGATACTGGTTCTTCTGTCCTTTCCTAGATGGGCGTCCTCTGGGAGTCTCTGCTTATCCTACAGCAGTGCCCCTGGCCCTTTGACTTCTTGGGTGATAATTTCCAAGTCAGCCCTTGGCAGTGCTGGCCCTCTGGCTGTAGTTGTCTGTGCCTCTCCCTAGTCTCTGCTGGTTGTTGGATCCTTTTAGGGCTGGCAGGCCTGGCTCCTATGCCAGCTTTGTGTCCTAGAGACATGATCACATAGGGCCTTGCTGCCCTTTTCTGTGGGTTGTGGTGAGGAGATGATGCCTGGAGCTGGCACAGGACAGGATTGAAGTTGGGGTGATTGTATTGGTGCTGGCCAGCGGCAGCACTTGACCCTCCTGTCAGACATGGGCCTGAGGCTCTCTGAACTGCATAGCCTCTTGGTGTGTTTGCTGCTCTAAGCAGGACTCTTTATTTATTTATTTATTTTTCATTTTTCTTTCATTATTCATATGTGCATACAAGGCTTGGGTCATTTCTCCCCCCTGCCCCCACCCCCTCCCTTACCACCCACTCCGCCCCCTCCCTCTCCCCCCCCCAGTACCCAGCAGAAACTATTTTGCCGTTATTTCTAATTTTGTTGTAGAGAGAGTATAAGCAATAAAAGGAAGGAACAAGGGTTTTTGCTGGTTGAGATAAGGATAGCTATACAGGGCATTGACTCACATTGATTTCCTGTGTGTGGGTGTTACCTTCTAGGTTAATTCTTTTTGATCTAACCTTTTCTCTAGTACCTATTCCCCTTTTCCTATTGGCCTCAGTTGCTTTAAGGTATCTGCTTTAGTTTCTCTGTGTTAAGGGCAACAAATACTAGCTAGTTTTTTAGGTGTCTTACCTATCCTCATCCCTTCCTTGTGTGCTCTCGCTTTTATCATGTGCTCATAGTCCAATCCCCTTGTTGTGTTTGCCCTTGATCTAATGTCCACATATGAGGGAGAACATACGATTTTTGGTCTTTTGGGCCAGGCTAACCTCACTCAGAATGATGTTCTCCAATTCCATCCATTTACCAGCGAATGATAACATTTTGTTCTTCTTCATGGCTGCATAAAATTCCATTGTGTATAGATACCACATTTTCTTAATCCATTCTTCAGTGGTGGGGCATCTTGGCTGTTTCCATAACTTGGCTATTGTGAATAATGCTGCAATAAACATGGGTGTGCAGGTGCCTCTGGAGTAACAGTCTTTTGGGTATATCCCCAAGAGTGGTATTGCTGGATCAAATGGTAGATCGATGTAAGCAGGACTCTTTAGATGAAAGGTTCCTGGTGGTTGTGCACTTCTCTGTTCACGTGTTGTCTAGGATGCAGTGAGGAGCAAATGGCCCCCAAAGAACCACCTAGCCCTTGGAAAGAGCCACCAGAGAGGCTGCCTGCATCACCCTGGCAGGACAGAGGTCCTGGAGGGTCAGTGCTGAGCCTCTTGTGAGGTGCCACATGTCAGCACTGTGCTGATCTAGAGTAGGCATGTGAGTCAGAGGCCATCTGCAGTTCTAGCTGCAGTACAGCCTAGAGTGTCTGAGATGAGCCATGGGGTGTGCATCTGCCTGACAGACAAACCAGTGGCCGAATATGAGCCTGTGTGTGTGTTGTGCTGTCGCTGCCTCCTGTGTACATCCTTAGCTTTCTCTTGCCATTTCATAAGTATGATTTTGAGTACACTCAGGTGATTTTCTCAAATCAGTGTTTGAGTGACACTAGGTGTTCAGGGTCCCTTGGCTTACATGTTGTTTTTTCTGGCTGGGGGCTCTGTCCATGATGATCGTGAAGTCAGGGCTTGCCATTACTACCCCATGCTTGGACCCATGAAGAGCAGGTTGAGGTGGATGCCATCTGTTCCTGGGAGTTCAGTTCTGGGGTGCAGGAGGTGGATGCTGGAAAGGGACCCTGGATTATTTGTGGAATTGGTATCACAGAGGAAAAGAGGGGCCCCTGGAGAGGGGGCGGATAAAGAAGAATGATGGAGGGGGTGAATTCAACTACGATATATTGTAAGAACTTTTGTATATGTCACAATGCACTCCCAGCACAACAATGATATGATAATGGGGGGTAAAAAAAAAGAAGGGTTCCTGGCTAGGCAGCTGGGGCCCACAATGGGGTCTTGGGGTAGGAAGTGATGCCTAAGACCTGCAGTAAGGAGGAGGATTAGGAGTATGGGGCTGCAAGTGATCCTGGGCACTGGGGGTTCCAGCTGTATGAGTGGATGGGTGCTGAGCCCATCCATGTAACCCATGACTGTCCATGGAGCTGAGAGGATGCCTGCCCCTCCCCACAGGTACGCACACGGTCGGTGGGGGAGTGCGTGGAATACTACTACTGTGGAAGAAATCTGAGCGCTATGACTACTTTGCCCAGCAGACAAGGCTGGGCCGGAGGAAGTTTGTCTCGTCTGGAACCACGTGCGTGCATGCTCTCCTCAGCAGTAATGTTGGTAGTGGCTGGGGTGGGTGTGGTGGGGCACCTGGGCGGCCCCTTTAGGGTGAAGGCACCTGTCCTCCTTGCTTTCTGCCCCTCACAGCTCTTTCTCCACAGAGACACTGACCAAGACCTGGATGGCCTTGACCCTGATGGCACCACCCGCACCCGCCCTGATCAGGAACCCCTGGCAGGGGTGCACACCGGTGAGTGCAGAAGGCAATGGCTAGGGACTGGGAGAGGCCGGGCTCTATGCTTGCCCTGGGTCAGTCCCTGCAATGAGCAGTGGACATCTCGGTGGTCGAGAGCTGGTCTAGAATGCCGCTGAGCCCATGAGTTGTGTTGGTAGACATGGGTCATGCCTGTCATTAGTCTGCCCCAGGTGGGGCTTAGCCCTTAACAGGCCACATGGGAGGACAGGAGTGTTTTCAGCCTTCCTCAGTGTCTGTCCTGGGCCCAGGTTCACAAGGGAGCCAGACAGTGCCTCAGACAGATCCTTTGAAAAGCTTTTGATGGTGGCTCACCCGAGGGATGGTGAGCAAGGATCCTTTGCTTCTTGGGTCTGTTTGTTCGGTTGAGTTGGTTGAGACATCTTGTTTCCAGAGTCTGGCTGGTTGCATGGTTTGTCTAGAAGGGCATCCATGTCTGCCTGGTTCCTAAAATTTTGTGCTGTACCCTTGTAGCACATGTTAGACAGAAGTTCCACAAAATCCCATATTCACCTTACTCAATAGAGTCTTGGGTTCTGAAGAGTCTTCTGAATCCGTTGTGTCATGTGGTTTTGAAAGTAGAGGGTGTGACCCACTCACTTAATCTTACAGCTTTCTTGGACTGGGTTTTTCTCCTGGTCCGCAGAGTCCACTGTGGCTGGCCTCTTGTGTCTGTGTTTTACATGTTTGTGTGGAAGCATTTTTCCAGGAGGCCAGGCAGGGACCCTGTACAAGTGAGAGCTGAGGCAGGAACAGCACGTGGGCTCTTGGGACCCATGCAGGGCTGTGGCGTCTGCTGTCCCTGCTTGGACTGGTCTCTACTTGTGTTCTCCACAGAGCCGCTGAGTGTGGATAACATGGCCAGTGGTCTTGGTCAGCCTGGAGTGGGCTCTGATGGTCTCCCATCCTTGGAGTCAGGGCTCTGCCCCTTCCAACAGCTGGATGAGCCCCCCACTGTGCCCCTGCCCCAGCAGCCCCCTGCCCTGACTGACCCAGCTGAGTATACATCAGCCCCAGCTACTTCGCAACCGAATGCCAGCCCAAGGCTTGCTGTGGACTTCGCCCTGCCTGAGGAACTGCCGCTTATGTCCAGCCACGTGGATCTGAGTGGGGACCCTGAGGAGCCTGTGGCCCCAGCACAGGTGGCCTTGTCGGTCACTGAGTTTGGACTCATTGGCATTGGGGATGTGAATCCCTTCCTGGCTGGCCACCCGGTGTGCCCGGCCCCTCCGCTGCACTCAGAGCCCTTGTCACAGTGAGTGCCACCCTCCCTGTCATCCATCCCACTGAGATGCTGCCCGCAACAGGCCAGCAGGAGGGAGTGAGGCCAGCAGTTTGCCCCAAGGCCTGAGGTAGCCACCCTGTTGAGTGGCTGCAGCAGCTGCTTATTTAGTTTCATTCTCTACCATTAATTGCCTTTTTATTTTTTGACTAGGTAATACATTCATATGGTTCAAAATCCAAAAAGGTACAAATAGGGGCAGTGCCAGGCTCCCCTCCCTCCCCTGCCCCACCCACACCCCTTCCCAGGCATGCTGTGCTCGGCCTGCGGAGCTTTGTCCAGGCACTACAGAAATTTGGTTCTTTAGTTGGGGAGGCGAGGTTGGGAGCCTCATGAGAGACCCACATGCCCGAATCTGCTGAGCCTGCTGACCTCGTTCTCTTGGTTTCTCCTAGCTGCAATGTGATGACCTGTTGATCCCTGGCCACAGGCGGGTGTGGCGCTGCTGCCAGGCTTGCCTGTCAGTCTTCCTGACCCTCCCCTACACAGGCCTCAAGGGGCACCTTCTCTGCTTCAGAACACGACGGGACCCGGTGAAGTGGCTGGGTTGCTGCCCTTGCCCCTTGCACAGACTGGACCCAGGGCCATGCAGACCCCGGGTCTCAGTGCCCGGCATTACCACCCACCCCAGGCTGCCACCTCACTGTGGGATCCACTGGGCAGCCAGGTGCAGAGAGGACCTGTCCCTTGGGACGCAGGGCAGAGCCAGCCACTTAGCCCCTTTCAGCCAGCAGAGGCAAGGGCAGGTGGCACTGCCCCTTGGGGGACAGGCAGGACCCGTGCCCATACCAGCAGCCTCTGCCTGGGCACCTTCAGCAGGGCTTGATCTATTTCCCTACACTCGGTGGAGCTGGACAGCTGCTGCTCAGTGCTGGACTCCTGGGGCACAGAGCCATATACCTCGCTGCCTGGCCCACCCTGCCTTCTGCCATCTCCACTTCAGGAAAAGCCGCACTTTATGCCCCCATCTGCCTCCTGCCTCCCTCATCCTCCCCGACCCTGTGTGTAGGTCGGTTGGGCTGGGGCCTTCAGCAGCCCTGCGTGAGGGAGGAGATGATGATGGTGACTAACCCTTTCCTTTTTCCCCTGTACCTTGTACCAGGGCAGGGAGCTCCAGAAGTGCTGGCCATCACCTGTGACAGACACCAAGTCTGGCCTCCAGCCTGCCCATGGCCCTGTAGGTCTTATTTCTGTTAGAGGCATCCCAGCAAGATGGCTGGGGATCCTTGTCCTCTTTTTGGCCTCCCTCGTTTTATTTATGTTGGTGTTTACAAGTCAGAGTGGGGTCCTTGGGGCAGGCATCTCCTGCCCTGGTGTTGGCAGAGTGGTGCTGTGTTCGAGCCTCTGCAGCTGGACTCAACTGTCCCTCGCCCCACTGAGGACCACACTGTGAAGTGCACCTGCCTTTGCCCCTTTGCTGTTTTATTTATTAAACTTGGTTTGAAGCCCAGGGTGTCTTGTGCTAGATCTGGCGGTGTTGGGGAATTGATGCCATTCTTGTCCTGTCATGGAGGACTCTTGCCCCTTCACGGATCTGGGGCAGAGTCTAACTCCACCACAGAGATGTGCCTGGAGGCACATGACTGAGGTCGCTGAGGGTGGTCTTCACGGGAGAATGTGGAGGGAGAATGCAGTCACATGTTGATGGCGTACGGGGCCAGGTCCACCTCTGAAAATAGGTTCAGCTGAAACCTGAAGAACACTGGTTTCTTGCCAGGAGCTGGTGAAGCAGCAGGTGGAAGGGACAGAAGAGAAGAGGGCCCTGGAACTAGGGGGACAGAGCGGGGCATACTGCAAGGGGAGGCAGGGGTGTGGGGTGGGGAATAGGGGAACTGAAGGTGAGAGCCAAAGTTTGTTCTTACTGTGGAGGTCTGTATTTCTCATAGCTCTCCTAGGGGCTGCAGACAGTGCAGGCAGAAACAGAGCTGGCAGGCTGCCTCCTAGTAGGTGACCATGGCCTGGATGTGGGATTGAGGCAGAGGAAAGTTGAGTCTCAAGAGTTGGGGACCCAGTCCTTGCATGCTGATGGTGTTGTGGGATGGAGAGCAGTGCCAGGGGCTGGGGTGCCAGAGTCTGGTGGGTGCTCTCAGTGCACATTCTGTCAGAAATATCCAGCATGCATGCCTTGAACAGGAGGTCTTTGCCAGCCGTATTTGTGATTTCCATCTAGATTTACCTCTGGTTTTGAGTAATTTGACCAGGATGTGCCTGATGTATGTGTGTGTTTCAGAGATTAGCTTCTTCCATGCATGTTGAGGTAGCATGCTTTGAAGTTCCTTTTGTGTTTTCATGGCTTGATTGCTCCTTTGTGGAGTGAATACTCTATTGTCTGGACTGACACAGTTTATCACCCAATGGAATTTTTTTTTTTTTTTTTGAGATGTGTCTCATTGTGTAGCCCAGGCTGGTCTGGAACTCATGATTCTCCTGCCTCATTCTCAAGTGCTGAGATTACAGTTTCGTGCCACTGCCCTTAGCTGTCCATCACTCTGTGAAGGATGTGTTGGATGTCCATGTTTTGGAAGAAAGCTAGGAATAAAGCTGCTGTAAACATCCATGTGCAGACTTCTTTTTGTATGTACCTTCAGTTCATTTGGACAAAGACTTGGGACTCTGATACATCCTGGACTCACTTTCCACACTTGGTTCTCACCCTTTGTCAGATCTGGAGACTTACCCAGGCTCTTACATTTCTCATGCCCCTCGTGCATCTGCAGTTCCATGACTGGGCCCTGGGTTCTGCCTGGGCCTGGCCTGGGTGCTTCATTCCCTTCTCTCTGTTCCCATTGGGATAGTTTGGTTGGCCTTTCCCTTTTCCTGTAGTACAAACTAGCACATTCCATGGAGTCCTTAACTCACATATTGTTTTATTTTTGTATTCACAGTTGGTTTCTTTTAAAAAAAAATTCCTCTTAAAATTTACCATTTTGTCATCTTTCCCCATAGCTCTTATATTTCTTAAAAGTTATAATAGCTACTTAAAAACCTTTGCTATTCTATTATTTTGTATGTTGGGTTTTTTTTGTTGTTAGTATTTTTGTTTCTTTGGTACTGGTGTTTGAACTCAGGACCTTGTGCTTGCTAGGCAGACACTCTGATCCATGCCCTCAGCCCTTGTGGGTAGCTTGGATGACAACAAGCCTTGCCTGACTTGTTGGTTAAGATAGGGGTTTCACTAACGTTTTGCCTGGGCTGGTCTTGAATGGAGACTCTCCCAGTCTTCATCTCTTAAGTAGCTAAGATTATAAGTGTGAACCACTGTGCCCAGCCCTATCCATGTTTTGTTTTTATTTGTTTGATCTGGGGTTTGAACTCAGGACTTAATGGTTAAACGGGTATTATAATTGTATTTATTTTTGTAGTGCTGGGATGGAACCAAGGGCCTTGCTCATATAAGGCAAGGGCTCTACCACTGAACTACATCCCCAGTCCTTGTAAATTTGTTTGTTAGCTAACACTTAGACCTTAATTTTTGGTTTTGGAACTCAGGGCTTTGTGCACACTAGGTAGGTACTCTGCCACTTGAACAATGCCTCCAGTCTCATATTTTTTAAACAAGTCATCTGATGCTGGTTTGGATCATCTGAATGCCTTGTGTACTCTTCTGTGGCCAGGTACCCCCAGTATGCCTGCTCTGCATGGTGATCAGCCTTGTTTCCTGTCTTCTCGCTTTGAGAACATGGGTCTTGATGTGGTGGGGGTTGTGTTCCTGGACTGGCCAGGAATGTCAGTGGCCTCAGGAGTTGTGTGTTGCTGTATCCCTGTGCTGCTTTGCTGCTTCTCTTCCGCATTCTGTACTGAGCTCCCTTCCCTTTGGCTACAGAAGCTACAGGCTCTCAGTCCTTGTCTGTGATCCATCCCTGTGAGAGGCATGTATTCTGTGTGGTCCTGTAGTTAACTCCTTGGGAGAGATTTCTTGGGTTTCATGCTCACAATGAACTAGTATCTCACCAGGCAGAGGGTTTTCCGTTGTTTCCCTAAGTGGTAGAATGTGCTTCAGATGAGGGACAGCTGTAAGCAGAAGGAACAGCAGGAGCTAACAGTATGTGGGCAGGTAGGGGCAGCAACTCATCTGGGGCTGTGTGCTGCCCAATTGCAGGATAAGCCCTATGGCTGGGCCAGGGAGCAACCTCTCTCCTAGGTCAGGGGATTTGGAAATTTGGGGAGCCTTAGTGGGTTTGGGGCTGGAGTGGAGTTACACTTCAGGGACATGGTTTGGTTGGGACACCTGGAGTGGTGGGCTGGACTCTGGAGAGACCATTGCTAACCCTGGGTGTCATTTGCTGGCTGGCAGTGTTCAGTTCTTGTCAATGATGGCTTGTATTTCTGATTGTACACTTGACGGTATATGTGAAGAACAGATAGGGAGCAGAGCCCAGGATGTTGACCCCTCATTGTCTGTAGCTAGGGAAGGTGCCAGGCAGGGGGAAGTAGGGACTCTATATTGGGGGGGAGCCTGGGGACTGGTAGGAGGAACTGAGGACCTGGCAGGGGTGCCTGGAGACCCTTGGGAAGAACTGGGGACATGCAGGGGGGCTTGGAGGCCTGAAAAAGGAACTGGGACACTCCAAGTCTGTCGCTGTGACTCAGGCCAAGGCCTGCATGCATCAGGAGCCAGTCTCTATTGAACAGATTAATGTTCTAAGCTCTCTGAGATGCTTTTGAGTTTTTCGGGGGGGGATCTTCCCTTTCCAGTGGGGTGAAGGCCTTTGTGACCCCTGCACTTCAGCTTAATGTGGGACTGTGCACTGGACAGAGCAGATGGACACTGGCCTGTGAGCGGGGCTTCCCGAGGAAGCCTCTATGGAGGAATGAGAAAGTCATCCTGAGCTGAGGGTCCTGTGAAGGCCACTGCTCCAGAATCTTGACCTCCCTGGCCCAGGCTGTGTTGGACACTTGAGCCCTGGAGTATGACTGTCCAGAGCAGATCCCAGAGCCCAGGCAACTGTTTGCCTCTCCCTAGTGGTCCTTGTTTTCTTGCTTTGTAGCTGCTCTTCAGAGTTGCAGTGAGTTGCACGGCACCCAGTTAGATTCAATTACACACAGATAGTTTATGTAAGTGTATCCCATGAAGTATTTGTGCCATAATTACACTAAAAATGGTTTGATGCCCTGCTGGTGTTCACATTCAGCTGCGCATCTTGCATATGACTGGCTCAATCCAGCAGCCCGATTCCTGGCTGTTACCCAGGACATTGAGGTAGTGCACCCAGCATGCTGGGAATCCCTAGGTGTGTCCAAGGTCAGTACCATGTGTGGCTTTGCCTTTGTGTGCAGTGGCCTGGAAGTCAGTGTGGGTGAGTGGTGGCAGCTTGGGGCAGGCATGTCCCTGTGGAATTCCAGAACCACAGTCCACACCTTGCACAGGTGAGCAGTGCCTGTTGTGAGCACTGGGGCTGTGAACCAGTACTGTCACCAGAGGGGATAGGGTGATGGAGTCTCCAGAGGCACATCAGCCTCTGAGCCCAGAGGACTGCTCACTGCTGTTCTCCAGCTGGAGCCTGGCCCTTTGGGTACTGTGTGGACGTTGTCCTTAAATTCCACTGAGTCTGGTTTGTGGCAGGGATGGAAGCTGCTGGGGATGAGGAAGGATGAGTGGGAACTGAAGTTCCACTATCTTCATATAAAAGAAGCAAGTGGACCCCACTTCCTCCCTTGAGGACAGGCTGTTGTCCCCAGTGGCTGGTGCGTCCCCTGCTGCTGGCGCAGCTTGTCTGTGGCCCTGGGAGAGCCTGGAGCTGCAGTGTTCCAGTAACCCTTGTTCTCGATGCCTTGTTCATCTGTTCACACCCATCCAGAAAGCACCAACTAAGTGCCTCCTGGTGCCGTGGCTGGCTGGGTGATATACCTGTGCAGCTGGTGAGGTAGGGTGTAGCTGGCATGAGGCATGGGGTCAGGGTGTGAACAAGGTGGGTTCATCTAGAATAAGGCTCCAGGCCTAGAGGTTCACCATCCCTGGCTCAGGCTGCGATTTTGAACAGAAGGTGCTCTCGGGTTGGGAGGGCAGTGGTCACCAGCCCTCTTGACTTGTACCACCAACGCACATCCCACAAGCTCTCCAGGGCCTCCCAGACAGTTTTCTACTCAGGCAGCCTAGTGAGTTTGGCTCTGTGACAGCATTTCCTTGGTCTTCATGTGTCCGAGGTGGCAGGACCTGGCTGTCCCCAGTATGCAGCAGACAGGGCATACCCAGATGTCCTTCCACACTGCCCTCAATGTCAGACTCACTGATGGGGACCCTGACCTCGGCAAATTGCTTCATCTCTCCAGAGAAGTGAAGAGCCAAGGTGGCTGTCTGTATTTGCTTGGCACCTACTGTGTGTAGGCCCCTCTCTGCCACTTCACAGAGCAGTCATTTGGAAACAAACGTGGGGCCCATCAAATGGAGAGGAGGTGCCCAGAGGGAAGAGCTATTGTTGAGCCCTCAGCCCCAAGCCCAGGGCCGTAGAACTTGTTTCAGATGTGGGCAAGACTATGGGACCCACCAGTGTGCACAAGAGGAGGCCAGGCTCCCTTGGAGCCTTACTGGCCTTGGCATCCCTGTAGGGGTTGGCAGCTGAGCTGTAGGTCAGGTGTGAGAACCCTGGGGAGGAAGTTCTTTAAGGTGGGACTGACTGAGGAATCGATGTAGGAACCTTGACCCCAATCCTAATCCTAATCCTCATTTTTGCTGCCCCCACCAGGTTTTAATCCTGATCCTACCCAGGGATTTTAAGAACTGACCCAAATCCTGACTGAGTGGAAGGATGGGAGAAGGGTATACTCCAGCCTCACCCCTCCAAACTCATCCTTCTAGCCTCACCCTTTTCAGCTTCACCATTCCATGCAGCTTTACCTCCTCCACGTCACCCCTCTGTAGCTTCATCCCCTGTAGACTCACTCCTTTCTGAAGCCACACTGCCCTCCACAGTCTCATCCAATCCTTTAGCTTCACGCCCCCCAGCCTCACTACTAGCTCACTCCCCTCCAACCTTATCTCCCTTCAGCCTCAGCCCCTCTATCCTCACCTCCCTCCAGCCTCACTTCCATTCAGCTTCACCCCTCCGTGCCTCACCTCTCTAGCCTCACTCCTTCCTCCATCCACACACCTCCAGTCTCACCCCTCCCTGCAGCCTCACTGCTCCCTCCAGTCTCAACCTTCCTTTAGCCTCTTCTCCCTTCATCCTCACCCCTTCCACCCTTACTGCTCCTTCCAGTCTTACTCCTACCCTCACTACTCTTGAAGCCTCACTCCTCCCTTCATCCTCACTCCTTCCACCCTTACTGCTCCTTCCAGTCTCACTCCTTCTACCCTCACTACTCTTGAAGCCTCACTCCTCCTCTAGCCTCATCATCCTTGTAGCCTCAGCCCTTCCTGCAGCCTCACTCCTCTATCCTCATCCTCCATCCTTATAGCCTCAACCCTCCCTGCAGCCTCACTCCTCTTCTGGCCTCACTCCCCCATCCTCCCCCCTCCTGCTTCCTTTGCACAGTTTCCTCCCCCTGTCGGTGTCCTCCTTTTTGCTCTGTGACCCGCCCCCCCCCCAGGTCCTCTCCCTTGCCTGGCTCCCCCACCCAGCACAGTCTTTGTTCCATAAGGAACCTGTATTTCCTTTGCTTCAATATCATGCTGTACCTGTACAATGCTGCATATTCCCTCTAGATGTCCCTGAAGTTGGTTGGTACCACAGGTGGGCAGAGAGGCCAGGGTGCCATCCATTTATGCCAGGAGCTGGGGAGCACATCCCATGTATTATAGAGTAATCCTCGAAATCCTAATTCCATGCATTTGTGAATGAATGAATGAGAGAGCAAATGAATGATGGAGCTTGGATAGAGGCATCCTGTTCTGTGAGTGCCAGTGGGGAATCTCAGTGGGTAGAGCCCACTTCCAGGGTGGTGGACCCTGAAGCCTTTGCCTGTCACAACCTAGATCTTGACAGAGTCAGATGTGGATGCTGGATATGTAGTGGGTGGGTGGAAGGTTCCTGATGCTCCTCCCATGTGGTCTGCCTGGGACACCAGAGTTTCCATATGGGCCTTGTTTTTTATGGTGGGGGGCTGTGTGTTGCAGGGGGATGATGGCTTTGCCTGCCTGCACAAGGACACCTCTTCCTGGGGGCAGGGACCTTCTCTCACCCCTACAGGGCAGCTGTGTACTGTCCCCCATCAAGCACCAGAGGGTGAGTTCCTGGGCTCTCCCAGGACCTCTCAGGAGGACCCCACCTAAGTGACTGGTGTCCATGCAGGAAGCAAGGTGGGGGATTTGGAGTTCCTATTCTTGACCTTGGGCCAGGGGCTGCCCCTCTCTGGACCTCCACTGACCTCAAGTGTCAAAGCCTGAGACTCATCCTGTCTTGGGATTGTTCAGGAGAAAGACTGATTGTGTTGGTGCATATGGCCTAGGTGGTCAAGGCTGGCAGACTCTGGAGCCTAGCAACCTGGGCTTGAAACTCAGCCCTGAAACTTCCACTGCAACCTCAAGGGAGGGGACTCACAGGTCATGGCTTGGTATCCAAGGCTTCCAAGATGGTTGCAGCCCCAAAGACCCAATGTGGGGGATGGAATACTGAGCTTTGGCAAAGTGTCCCTGGGGCCTCTGTTTCCTGGGTACCCTTGACCCCCAGGCGCCCATGCCCAGCCCTCCCAGGATCTCTTATGGACTCTTCTACAGAATGGGGACAGCAGTGTGCTAAGGGGCACACGCCTGAGTCCTTCCCCCGCCTAGACACTAGATGTTTCGATATGCCATGGAGCTCAGGGACGCCAGGATCACAAGCTTTAGGAGGGAAACCACACCTCTGCGACTGAGCCACACCTCCCCACCCTAAAGTACTTCCTGGTTTCGGATGTATAGGTGTATCCAGCTCTGAGTGCCCGCTGGGCTTCTTCTTCGTCTAGGAAAGCTGGGTTCGGCCGAAGGGACGCGCGCGAGTTCGGTGCTGCCCAGCCAGCTTTGGTTCAGCCCGGGACTCCCTAACTCCGCGCGTTCTCACCCTGCGGGGACTCTGCCTCCCCAGCCCTGGGGACACCAAGGCTGACCTCGATTCCGCATTCCCTGAGCGTCTAGTGGCTCCTCCCAGCTCTGAGACCCCTGTCCCCTCCACTTAGCAGGTCTCCCGCACACCCCGCCCCGCCCTTCCCGTGCGCCGAGGGGCGGGGCAGAGCGCGCCCCTCCCCCAGCCGCCCGCCCCGCCCCGCCCCTCCCCGTCCCTTCCCTGGGCTCCTGGCAGGCTCCGCAGCCATGTGACCCCGCGGGCGCTGGGACGTGACGGGACAGTTGGGACGGGCACCGGGGGTCGCGGGCTGGGCCCGGGCGGGGGCGACATGGAGCGGAGGTGGGTCTTCGTGCTGCTGGACGTGCTGTGCGTGTTGGTCGGTAAGAGCCGTGGGGACCCGGGTTCGGGGGACTCTCTCTACCAGGCAGACACGCCCCCTGCCCCACGACAGCCCGTGGGTGAGTGGGGGCTGCTGCGTCCTCTGAAGACTCCTGAAGGTGGCGACCCGGGACCGCCACTCCCCAGACCCTCCTCTGCGCTCCCTTCAAGTCGCGGCCCATGGCCATCACCCCTCATCCCAGCCGGTCTGTCATGAGGGGGTCCCTGGCGCCCGGGGAGAGCCCGCCCCGCTCGGCACAGGAAGTCGCCTGAGGGCTGCGGGGCGACGGTGACTCACGCGGGCGGAGCGGGCGCGGCACTCAGGACTTCGGTGCCTGGCCTTGTCCCCAGGAGGGTTGGCCCCGACCGACGCGCCGTGGGCAAGGTCCGGCGCCCTCGCCCTCCGCCCAGGAGGCGGAGAGAAAGGTCGCCAGGCCGAGGTGATGGGCCTGGATGTTTGGAGCCAAACCTGCCCAGCCGGTTTGAGGCCAGCAGGCGGTGGGGGGGAGGGAAGGCGGCGCATCCGAGGCCCCCCCCCCCACCTTTCCGCCTCTCCCTGGCTGGGAACAAAGGCCAAGTGTTTGGGCTGAGCCCACTGGACAATGGCCCCAGAATTCTACCCCAGAGGCGGTGGTGTATTTATGTGGGGGGTTCACCTTTCTTCTGCCAACCTTGGGTTCTTTATTTAAATATTTATGTTGCACTAATTGTAAGCCAGGCACCAAAGTATATGCAAGTAATTACTTCCAAGCAGCCTGGGCCCAGAGAAGTTGAGCCACCTGGTGGAGGTCACCCAGCAGCAGCAAGACAGGGCAAGTTGATTGCATGTTGCTGCTGCATGCCAGGTGGTGGTGGCCCAGGCCGAAGTGTTTCCAGCCTAGAAGCCTGAGTTACAGAACAGTTCAGTCAGTACAAGTATTAGGTGCCAGGGAGAGGTGTGAGGCCTGGGACATTCTGGATGAAGGAGGCGCCTGGCTGTCCCCTGGGAATGCTTTCCAGATAGAGAGAAGGGCTTGGACTCCAGTGTTCTGACAGCCCAGCTCCATTTCCACTGAGGAGGAGTCTCCACTGTAAAGTGCATGTTGTTTATAGGGGGGAAAGGGGAGGACACACACCACAGCATGACCGGGCTGACTTAACTCCCCAGCCCGCCTTGACCCTGACAACTGAGCAGCCCTGAGGCCCCGCCCATTGTCCCAGTTCACTGGTGCACACCTGTCCTTCTGCTTGTGTTCTGCCCAGACAGACCATTGTCCCCTCCTTCATACACAGCTCTGAATGCCCTCTTCCTCTACAGGCTTCTCCTGTGTCTGGCTAAATCTTTGTCCCCTCCCAGTACCTTCCCTCATGGAGATTCTCCTAGGCTCCACAGACATCCCCTTCCCTTGGTCTCCTGGTATTGGAGACCCAGGAAGGCAGGAGTCATCTCCACTGCTTGCTGTGTTTGTCTCTGGAGCCTCCATTGTTTTGCTATGGAGCAGAGTGCTGCCCTCTGCCTGATCCTGGTAACTGGCTCCTGCCTCCTATCCACTTTGGCCTCAGAGGGCCCAGGCTTCCAGTGCTGGGACGCTTTCACAACTTGATTTCAATGTCACTGCCAAGTGTGTCTGTTCCTGAGCCCAGGGTGGGTCTGTTTTGGCTACTGCATGTCTGGCTCAGGTTCTGGTAAATAAAGAGCCACTTTCTCCACTGAAGACACCTCACTGCATGCTGCTGAGCTCTGAGGTCCTTCAATCCTGCCTTGTATCGACATGTCACCTCTGCCTTGCCAGGCTCTGCTCCAGGGCTGGCCCTGATACAGCAGGCCCCTCAGGGCTTATATGTACATGGGGAATCTTGTCATACCTCACATAGGTGGCTGTCATTCCACAGGGGATAGGAGCTATGCAGAGTGGATTTTCCTCCCTGTGATAGTGATACCAGGGAAGCCATCAAGGAGCTGCAGTGAGGTGGGAGGGAGGCAACACAGGAGCAGTGCATGTGCAAAGGCCCTGGGGCTGGTGCTGGTTGCATCTGCTCCAGGAGCAGAAAGGAAGCCTGAGGGTGTGAATGAGGAAGACTGTGGAGGTGGGTGGCACTGTTCCATGGGCCCAGAAGGCATTGGGTTGATCTGGGATGTTGGGATGCAGTGGCCTCCTAAGAAGCCACCAGAGCAGCTCCGGCAGGGAGGTGGCAGAGCAGTGGGTGCTTTGGCAGAAGGTGGGAGCAGTGAGCGTAGGTGTTCAGGTCCCGAAGTGCTGCTGGGAGAGCCACATGCCTACCTGGCTTCCCACAGCCTCTCTGCCCTTCGCCATCCTGACTCTGGTGAACACCCCATACAAGCGAGGATTCTACTGTGCAGATGACTCCATCCGGTACCCCTACCGTCCAGACACTATCACCCACGGGCTCATGGCTGGGGTGACTATCACAGCCACTGTCCTCCTTGTAAGGCGGGAAGGGCTTTGAAGGTGGGGGGCAAGGATGTGCCTGGAGAGAAAAATGGAGATGGATGGGGGCTGGGGGGAATGGTGTGTGTGGGAGCCCCAGCTTTCCCCATGGGAGGACAGGCCAGGCCCTGGCCCTGTCCATTTTGGGTCTGCAGCTACTCCCTTGGCAGGTGTCAGCAGGTGAAGCCTACCTGGTCTACACAGACCGCCTCTACTCCCGCTCTGACTTCAACAACTATGTGGCTGCTGTCTACAAGGTGCTGGGGACCTTCATCTTCGGGGCGGCTGTGAGCCAGTCATTGACGGACCTGGCTAAGTACATGATTGGCCGTCTGCGTCCAAACTTCCTGGCTGTCTGTGACCCGGACTGGAGTCGGGTCAATTGCTCTGTCTATGTGCAGCTGGACAAAGTGTGTAGAGGGAGTACGGCCAATGTCACTGAGGCCAGGTGAGTGTCAGGCCCAAGCGAGGCTCTCCAGTACAATAGGGAGAAAGCCCGGGTGACAGAGAAAGCTGGTGAGCAGAGCCAGCAGGAGGTGGCTAGGGGTCTGGGAGGTGGAGACGGAGGTCCCAGGGGTGGTGCATCTGGGAGGGGAGAGGCACAGCTGGGGCTTCCGGGCACAGGCTCTCCTCCCTGCCACCCTGGCTGTGGGTTTCTGGTAAGGAATCATCTGTTGGGGTTGTCAGCATTGAGCCTCTCTTTCTTGATGCCTTTGAGAACGTCATTGACTTTGACTGTTGGTTATGTGTCTGGTTCTCTCACGTCTTTTCTACTTGCAATTCCAGACTTCTTGGGTGTATAATTTGATGTTTTCCATGAACTTGGGAAAGCTTTTAGCACCATTTCTTCACATATGCTCTTTGCCCCGTCCCTCTCTCCTGGAGCCTGGCTGTGCATGCTAGGTGTAGCCAGTGTGATTGTGGCACCCTTGTTCCTCCTGATGGCATTTGGGTGCCCTAAGTTCACCTTACCTGTTTATACCTATTGGCTGTCAAGTCCTGTAGGGCTTTGTCACTTTGAATATTAGTTTTCACGTCTGGAATTACTTTTTGGCTACCTGTTAACCCCTTCCGACTTTGCAGATCTCTGGTGGGAGCTCTTTGTATCTCAGCCGTCCAGGCTTTTCAATGGCTGGTTTTAGTGTTTCCTTAAGAACAGCTTCTGTAGAATGGATCCCTCTCCCAGTGGCCACTTCCTTTTTCTTGTCTACCTGTCTCATAAATATTTCATTGTGTTTGTTGATGCTGTTTATGTAGCAGCTTTTCTTTTCTCTTTCTTCTCTTTTTGGCGGTATTGGGATTTAACTCAGGGCCTTGTGTTTGCTAGGCAGGTACTCTACCGCTTAGCCATACCTCCAGCCTGTTTTTGCTTTCGTTGTTTTTCTGGATAGGGTATCATGTTTTTGCCCAGGCTGATCTTAGTTTTTCCTATCTGTGCTTCCTGTGTAGCTGAAATGGTAGGCATGTGCCATCCATCAGGCCTGGCTCATTTGGTTGAAGATGGGTCTTGCTAACTTTAGGCCTGGGCTGATGTTGAACCATGGTCCTCGAGATTCTTCTGATCTTCACCTCCTGAGTAGCTGGAATTATAGGCAAGAGCTGTGCTTTACCACATAGTGGCTTTTCTGAGTGAATGTTGTGAAGTCTTTATTCCTACTCAAGTTAGTCATGAGGTTCTGCTGTTAGTGTGGTGGTCAGCCTGGGATCAGATGCAGATTTCTCCTTTTCTTGTTTCTTGGGTGCTGAGGATGTTGGAACCTGAGGCCTCAGCATGCTAGGCAAGTGCTGTACCACTGAGTCATAGCCCAGTGCTTAGGCACCTCCTTAAACTCTTGGGGCTGGAGAAAAACTCCTAGAGTTACAGAAGAACTCCTCTGCCCTGGCCTTGTCCCATCTGCAGAGCCTGTGGTCAGTTCATAGGAGGGTTTGGGGCTGCCTGGCTCCCCTAGGCCTCATCCTTCTGAGAAGAGGCCTCAGCTGCTCTTCATGGCTTCAGGTAGCAGTGACTAGTGTCTTTGCATTAGGTGACATGACAGCCAGTCCTGAGAGTCATCAGCCATCCCAGCAGTGACTGTGGCTCTCTGTGCTGTGGCTGTGCCAAGTGTGTGGACTGCTGGCCTCGTCTGCTTCAGGACAGAGACTGGAGGGCATGAATGAGAGGACAGTGTGGAGGTGGGCCACGTGGCTTGGTGGCACTGGGGCCTCTTGACTGAGTGCCCTGCCTGTTGTAAGCTTCCTTTTGATTTGCAGAGCTGCCCCTCTGCAGCCTGCTTGCTGCCGATACAGCTCTTTGCTTTGCCTCTCTGCTGTCTCTGACATCCTTTGCTAAACCTGGGATTTATGCAGACAGAAAGCATGGAGCTGCCTCAGTTTCCACAGATGGGAAATAGTTGTGGGAGGACAGTGGATGCAGAAGGGGCATCAGCTACTTGGGTGATGAATGGTCTGCCTGGGTTCTAATGGGCCTGGGTGTTGGCTGTGAGCCCCAGTCTGACACTGTTCTGTTGCCACAGGACTTGGAAGGGAATAAGGGCAACCTCATCTTGCTGGGATAAGCTGTGTGTGAAATCCCCTTGTGGTGGACATGGGCTGGGAGGCAGCAGAGAGGCCAGGCCTGAGAGGTTTGGAGGACAGAGGTGCCAAGAGAGTCACCTGGTCTCTGAGGGCAGGCCAGACTCTGAAGTGCAGAGAGTTTGTCCCTGCTGTTGTTCCCCAGCTCCCGGACCCCGCTGAGCCCAGCTGCCCTCTCCTTTCCTAGGCTGTCTTTCTATTCAGGACACTCCTCCTTCGGGATGTACTGCATGATGTTCTTGGCGGTGAGTTTTTCTGCTGACTTGCTTGCTGTGGAGCCCCAGCCAGGTCACGCCCCTTCCCTGAGTCTCAATCTCCCTGGCTGTGCAGTGAGCGTGGTGTGAGAGGAGGTGGTGCTGGGTAGTGCTCACAGCTTGTTCATACAGATAGAAGCCTTGTGTCCCCATGCTGCTCCCCTGGCCTCAGAACTGTCACCTGTGCACTGGGTGGGACAGGGGTTGCTGGTAGTGCCTAGACTGACTGTGCTGCTCCCCACAGCTCTATGTGCAGGCGCGGCTCTGCTGGAAGTGGGCGCGGCTGCTACGGCCCACAGTTCAGTTCTTCTTGGTGGCCTTCGCCCTCTATGTGGGCTATACTCGTGTGTCTGACCACAAGCATCACTGGAGCGACGTGCTTGTCGGCCTCCTGCAGGGGGCACTGGTGGCCAGCCTCACTGTGAGTCTTGGATTCCCTCCCTCAGTGCACCCTGTCTAGAGGCCTGCAGGACCCTAGCCTACCCTAACCCTAACGCTCCCCCTGCACCCTATGCTGACTGCTCTGTGTCCCTGAGGACCTACCTCTCCTGTTCCAGGCCCATTTTTCTCAGTGCCCATCTTGGCCCCTCCCCTCTGTGTCACAGTCACCCCCACCCCGTACCCATTCTTCCCATTCTGCTCACTGCTCTGCCCGCTGATCTTAACCCGCTCCTCTTCCCCAGGTCCGCTATGTCTCCGACTTCTTCAAATCCCGGCCTCCCCAGCCCTGCCAGGGAGATGAGGAGCTGGAGCGCAAGCCCAGCCTGTCATTGACACTGACAGTTGGTGAGACCGAGGCCAACCACTACGGGTACCCAGCTTCCTCCTCCTGACCCATGATGCCAGGTGGCCAGCTGTGGGGCTGTCTGCTCTGGTCCCTGGTCTCTAGTCAGGCAGTGTGGGCCCTGGACAGGCCCCATGGTCCTGGTTGATGCAAGTGACTTCTGGCACCCTGCACTGGACCAGGAATGTGGAGGTTTCTGTCCAGTTCAGAGTGTTTGGTGTGACCTGTCTTGTAGCTCCTTCAGTGCCCCTCCTTTCGTGGGGTTTGGGAAAGCTCCCGGAGGGTGGATGGATGTTGCTTCTTTTGCAAGATGTGATGTGTGTATTTATAGGAAGACAGGGCACTATTGATGGTTCCAGAGCTCTGCTTTGCTCTGAGTGTCCCTCATTGCAGAGGGGGCTCCCTGTGGGGCATGTGGTCAACCACTCCCTAGAGGGCCTTGAACAGAAGGGCCAGCCAGTAATAATGGGCCCTGGGGCTGCCTGCCTGCTGGAAGTTGGCCTTCCCTGGGCTGAGAATGCAGGTGTGAGTGATGGCACCACCACTGTGCTCTGCACAGTTTTGCACTTGGGTCTGCCTTGGAGCCTGTGGTTAGCTAGAAAGACCACACAGGATTTGGGTCTGAACTCCTTCCGATTCCTCTTCTTTGTGCTTGCCAACCATCCAGATATCCTTGCCTGAGGCCTCTGAGTGCCTCCTCGCATGATGGGGACCTGCTCTTGGCCCTTCATGTGACAGGGATCTGTCCTCAGCTCTTCCTTACATGATAGGAACTGGCCCTCCGCTTCTCTTCACATGATGGGAATTCATACGATAGAGACCTGTCCTTGGCTTCTCTTCACATGATAGAGACCCTTGTCTCATAATGGGGAATTCTCCTCAGCTCTTCTTCACAGAGGACTGGCCCTCATAGTTGCCCATCAGCAATGCAACATATATGTGCAGACCCTAGGGTTCTAGGCCTTGTAGGAAGCCCCGGTCTATCCACTGTCCATGATCTTATGGGACTCACTAAAGCTGTTCCCTGTGGCACACACCCTGAGTCCTGATCGTCCTACCCACACAGACCCAAGCACCTGACCAGGCTTCTGAAGTGCGTCACTTTTTCAGAACTGTTAGGGGTTACCTTTTCAATGGGAGGGTGTCATAAATTTTTTTTTATCAAATATCTTTGTGATGGGTGATTATTTTTAATTTCTGCTGATGTTTACTGAAGCTGGAACCTGTTGTGTGTTTTTACCAAGCCTTAGCAGGGTGATGGTAGCATTTGGGGGCAGAGGTGCAGTCCAGATGCCCTGCACTGGGGCCAAGATGGAGTGACCTCCTAGCTCTCCATGACCTTCCCTGGGGGCTGGGGTTAATGGTAAACCAGACACTGCAGAGCGCCCAGGTGCTGAACATCAGGAAGTTGGCTTCCTGGACGGTGTCAGGCAGGTCTCTGGTGGGGAAAGCCCTGACAAAACTCCCTAGGGCCAGCGAGCTGGTCTATCAGGATTCTGGGAACTTATGGGGCTCATTGCATAGGAGGAAGAGTCCTGGCTCAGAATGTGGGCCTGTGTCTGGAAGGGGGAGTCTCCCTGCAGAGCCCTCAGGTCCTCAGATCAAGGAGCAGGTGAGGAAGGCAGGATGAGGGTGGCTCTCCAACACCTCCCTCTCCCAGCTGTGGTGCCTGGAAGGCCCTGGTTAGTCACTGGGACACCTGATGCCATCACCAGAGACACTCAAGAAGCTAGGAAGGGGATGATTGTCACTAGCATTCTCAAGCCCAACAAATCTCAGCTGGCTTCCTTCTGGACTCAGAAACTGAGTTTCTAACTATGAAAATAGTCTTCTTAAAATTTTCATAGACATTCTTCATCAAGGGCCTGGCTGTGAGCACCATGCAGCAAACATCCATTTCCCCCCACCTCCAAATCCTTCTGATGATTCATTAATCTCCAGTAAATAAAAGGCTGCTCAATGAGAAAATGGACTTACGTTGTTCAGAGGAGGGAAGAAAGTCTCATTTCTCGAACACAATGAGGAACTTACAGATCCCTGCTTGATGAAATTTTCGATGTGCTCCTAAACTTCTCTATCTATGCACTTGGACATTCTAATGCTGGCAAAGAACTCTTACCAGTTTAGAAATATCCTCTTCCCTACCATCCCCAGGTGATGTCTGATCACCTGGCCTTTCTTCAACAAGAACTGTAGGGCCACTGTAGCCAGAACCAGCCTCACCCCTGAGGTTCTTCCTTGGTCATTTCCTACCCATTGAAATCCCTCCACCCCACTGGCTGGAAAAATTCCTTCTGCTTTATTTGGAATTGAGCTTGATCTCTCCCCAACTTCAAGAGCCTATAACAATGGCCTTTTTACCTATCTTGATGGTCCTGAATAAAGTCCTTCTTCCCATGCTTTAAGTGTCTCTGGATAATTTTTTTCTCTAACACTGCAAGTGGAGGAACACCAAAGATTGCCAGGAGCTTGGAGAGACAACCAGTTTCTCCCCAGCTGGTTTCCTAAGGAGCAGGTCTCTGCTGATGTCTGACTTCAGAATTCCAGCTCCAAGATGGCAAAAGAATGAATTTCTGCTTAAACCACACAGTGTGCAGTAATACTAGAAAGTGCTTCCATGGTTGTCTTTGCACTAAAGATACCATTTGCTTCTCCCAACCCACCTCGCCAATAACATCAATATTTAGAGGACTGCTCTGAATTGGAGAAATGTGAACTTGCACTAGGAACGGGTCAAGGGAAGTGGTCATAGCGCTTGGATGGCTGAATTGAAAGATCACAGAAGGTGGGGCTCAGATTAGGACAGGGGCAGGTATGAAGCTGGGAGAGACGGACTTGAGCACACCTCCCCTCTTCTGAGTCTGGCCTGTCTCATGAATTTTCTCAGGAGACCTAGAGTCCCATGGCTCCAAAGTGGGATGATGCCAACCGCCCAAAGAATGACCTAAATAAGTCCAGCCTGAATAAGAAAAGTGTGTTAGTAGGGGTCACGTGTAGAGTAGTGGATGACTACAGAGGACTATATTGACTAGGCCTGGACTGTATCTCCCAAAGAACTATCACCTGGATTCTACCAAACCCAGAGGGTGCCAACTTTTGCCTACCAGGCTCCTATTTATGACTGAGTCTATAGCAGAAACCTGGACCTAGAGCGCCACCTACTGCCAAAATAGCAGGAGCAATTACAGGTTCTAGAGTCTGGGAGTTACATGCTTATGCATGTTCTGTCCTTGCTCTTCCCTGGGGCTTATCAGAGGGCTTGTTGTGCTGCAGTCTGGCATGCTAAACAATGAAATGGTGACCTGTTGCAAGATAAGAGCTACTCTGGTTGGGAGTTGGACCAGTCATACTACATCACACTTTGCTATCCTGTCTTGGGGATCTTCCAGTCTGGAGAGTCCTGTTCTCATCTCAGGAGTGGGCATCAGACCCAAGGCCACAGGCTGAGTCTTCTCCCCAGGCAGCAAGTTTCACGCCCAATATTTGGGGGGCATTTTCCTCTCCATACCTCTTCCTGCTCAGCTTTTTCTTCTAAGGGAGCCTCAGCACCTTCCAGTCTGCTGGGATGGAAGGGAGGCCTATTCCAGCCTGTTCAGGAATATAGGAGTAAGGGGCTGTAGCTTTTCTCCAGGCCAAAGGATGCCCCTCTACCCTCCCTGTGCTGTGCTGGGTCTTGACAGTACATGGATTTTAATAGGAAATGGCCACCACTTTTCTTCTTTTCCTATTCTTGAAAAGAGGAAGTGTTCATTTTTACATCTTCTCCGTATAAGGAAGGTAAGAATTTAGGATTCCCCTAGAGGAAAGGGGTGCATCCATGCCCCAAATGAACACACCCACACATGTGCACACTCACCCACAAACCACCATACCCTCGTGATCATCCCACACCAACACAGCCCCATGACACACCCATGCACACAAAATACACATGTACACACAAGCATACACAGCATGCACACATAGAACATATTCATACAGCACATGTGCACAAAATATGCATGCACATACATGTACACATGCAGATAAAATACAGAGCACATATGTACACACAGCACAGAACACACATGCGCACACAGAAAATATGCATATACACACACAGCACATAGTACACACGTATCCTTGTCTGGCTTTCTCTTCTGAGGTTACAGAATTCAGAGGAATCAAGTGAGGAGCCAGGAGAAACCAAGGGATGAGCATGACAGCAAAAAGAAAGAGAAGAGGCCTTGTTTCCCAGGATAACAGGGATTCCCTTCCCTGACCCAACTGCCACAAATCCTAGGGTCTGACGAGATGCTGGGGTCTAATGGCACTGAAATAAGAGAAATGAGACCAAGCCATATATATTATGAATGAGATGGGCAAGGTTTCTTCCTGGGGGGATAGGAGGGAGCTTCAGATCAAGCTGGCCAACTTCAGCTCATTCAAGTTCATGGGAGAAGCAGTGAACAGCAGGAGGATCAGGCTCAACAGAGCAGCAGCTTTTATTTTCACAGTGACCTGAAGTCGGGTAATTGTTCACTGGTCACAGGCAGTTTTGTTTTGATTTGTTTTTTTGCGGTCCTGGGGTTTGAACTCAGGGCCTTGCTTACTAGGCAGACACTCTACCACTTGAGCCACACCCCAAGTCTACAGGCACAGGTTCTAAAGATTTTCTTGTTGTGTGCAAACATCTTGGCTTTTTGCTTGGTGGGCTACCTGAGGTCAACGTTGCTCAGGGACTGATGAGATACTCTGGTTGCTGACCTCATCGCTTTGCATAAAGTCCTGGCCTCATGTTTTGGTTGCAGCTGTAGGGTAAGGCTGAGGGACTGAGGATGTTTGGCCTATTGACAAACCATGAGGGTTGGGTAGAGGAAACACAGCTCCTCCAACAGGCAATAGGCCAAGTTAACTCTGTATTAAAACCTTGAACAAAACACTCTTCCAATGATCAACTTGTCTACATGCCAACCTGAGCAGAGTCTGACTCAAAGATCGAGGCAGTGTGAGAGTCTGAGTTCAGTGCCCAGTTGACTGCCACCAAAACAAAACAAAACTAAACACAAAAACACTGTGAGCTGCACAAAGTACAGATTCAGTTTAATCAATTTGGGCAGGTCCACATAAGGGCTTCTACCCTTTTCTCCACTTGCCACAGTTGTCTATCATCTATTATATATCTGGCCAGGAGTATTTTTGTCAATATCATAGATCTACAATTTACTAATAATTTCTTAAAGTACACTATATTATTTTTCTGTTTTGTCTTTTCAAGAGTCAGGAAAGCTTTTGTTTGTTGTGATGACAGTATTCTTAATGTGAAGACACGATGAGGGGACATGTGTGCACGATGTATACTTTTGTCACACAGTTCATTGTAAGGCAGAGTATTTTGATTCTGATATTCTCAATTGTAAATTAAGCAGTAATTAGTCATTGTCTATTTGATTAGACAAATAAGGCATAGAACCTTTTCTTTTTTTGTAAATCTTTAGCTTCATGACTAGCTATATTGATAATAAAATTATTTATAAGTTCACCTAAATGTGGACATTGGAGAGTCTGGGCACCCAATAATCCCTTGTATTCCCTAAGAGGCAACTGTTTTCTCCCATGAAACACAGTTGTCACATCTAAACTAACTCAGGGACTGTGCTTCTGTTTCCTTCTCTATGTTCACCCTTCCTGCAGAGCAAGCTGACCTTCATTAGCCCTTTAAACTCTTCTGTTTTAGGAAAGCATCACGATGAGCCATTGCAGAGGACCAAAATAAAGACAAGTATTCTTTGGAACAAGTGAAATAAGTAATCTAGTCACAATGAGTCAATTTGTCTTTGCAACATATTTTTACAGAGTCACTCCTTTGAGAATGTTCAGTTGTGAGTTGAAATGGAATCTGTAAAATGCAAATTTCTTCTCTAAAGTGACCAGTATTTTAGAGAGAGAAATCTTTAGTCATAGCATAACAAAAAAATAGCAATAAGTTTATACATTATTACTTTAACATGAATCATATAAAAGAGATCTTGAGTTATATTTAATAATTTGCATTATTCAATTTTTTCAGTACTGGGGATTGAATCAGGGCCTGCACTTGCTAGACAAGCACTTTACCACTTTAACCATGCCCCCCAGTTCTTCTGGTTTTCTTTTTCACGAAGGGTCGCATAATTTCATCTGGGCTGGCTTCAGATTATGATCCATCTAACTTTACTTTCTTAGTAGCTGGAATTACACCATTTCTGGCTTGTTTTTGAGATAGGGTCTCACTAACTTTTGCCAGAGTTGGTCTTGAACTCATGATCCTCCTACTTCTACCCCCAGTAGCTGGGATTTCAAGCATGTACAAACACATGCAACTGCATTAATTTTTGGGTCATAATTGCTCTGCTTAACAGTATCAATTACTGGCAACTGAAAAACCAAATCTTAAGGTTTATTTAGAATAGTTTCATATTTACACAGAAATTGTGAATAAAGCACGTATTCCCCATGTGGCTTCACCCTCTCCTCCGTCAGTATTCTCATGATCGACAGCAAAGTTCTTAATGTATTAAGTCATTTGTCATAATGTAGAAATATGCATATGCCATTGTTGACTAATGTCCATGTTCTCTTTGGATTCCCTTAGTTCTCCCTTTTCCTGTTTGAAGAGGCCATCCAGAATCTCACAGGATACTCGGTCATCGTGTCTCTTCAGGCAGTTCTTAGTGGTAATGGTTTCTCTGACTGTCATTCTGATGACCATGACTGGGTTACGGTGGATGTGTCAGATGTGTTGTGGGTTGACCCCCTTGGGATTTTCTTGTCCATACCCTAAGTGTGAAGAAGGGAGTCTTCAGAGAACTCAGCAGGGGAAGTGTTAGAAAGTAATTCAAAATGACCATTCTTTCCCCTGGACCTCCAAGATGTGTGTCCACTAATTTAATGTCCACACTGTGGCCTTAGTACTAACACAGTATTCATAAATACTATTCTGGCTTCAAATACTAATATACCAGTTACACTATCACCTATAATACCTACATAGTGGTCTCCTAATGCTAATGTAATTTGTACTACCTTAGTGTATTTGAGGGTACTGTGTGGCCTCTGATAAAATTTAATATCCATATTGGGACCCTAAATTATTGTAATTTCCACACTGGGTCTTTTAAACCTAATACTGATATCCACAATACTTTGTCCATGTAATAGCCTCTAACTGCTTTTATAATAAGAGGTAGAGAGCGGCCTTTACTACCTATGTAATAGCCACATAGTAGACTTGGAATATCAATAATTTTCACACAGTGGCTTTAATGCTAATGTAATATCCACACAGTACCCTCTCATCTAATATCCATACCGTGGACTCTAGTGACATTCAGATATTTCTTACATGGGCAGCATTCTCTCAGCTTTGGCTGAACTGTGTTTGGGCCTCTGCAATGAAGACTGAAGTCCGTTTCTCTGGCATGTTATTCCCATGGATGTGTTAAAAAGTAATTGACTCCTCAATAATTTCAAATTTTGAAGAAACCTGCAATACTGGCACAAAGTACTCTTTATCCTTTCACTCCCATGCCTCAGTAATTATTGATTTTCT